TGATATTACACCAAGATTCGTTGAATGCTCACTTGCATTATTTACCAAACATACATGTGAAAGACTAAAATGCCAATCAAACTACATGGACAGTTCAACATTCATTCTTAGCAAACGATCATACTGAAAAAATGTATTAATGGTTCTAATAAAATCTGTTGTCATGAGAAGTGGCAAATAGTACTCAAAAGCAGCTCTTTATTACAGAGATTAAAGCATACATACCTACATACCACTCCAGTGTAAAACAGGCCCACAACACTGCCATCTCTCTCTCTCTCACGCACACACGCTACCCCCACCCCACCACCAAAAGAGTACAACGCCCAGTGTCTGGATACAACCATATTGACAGATGAATAAAACCAGACAAAGCATTATGAAATATGCGCAATATTGATTTAAATGGTTATTTTCCCGTTTCAGGCAAGTTGCACTTTTAATGTTAGAAAACAGGTGAATTCAGTCACCACCACACAAGATTCCTGGAATTTTTCACTAATACATACTCCAATTATAATTCTTAAAGAGTAACTCATTTTAAGGAATCTGATTTCAGAATCAGCAGGAATTTGAATCAAATTTCATCAATTATCTTACTTTCATGAAAAACGACACCAAAGTTGGAAGAAGTTATGTTTGCTGAGCTTGTACTTCTTGGCTCGGAAGAACAAGGTTTAGGAGGCTCATCCTCCAAATTGTGTAATGCTCATTTACAAAAAGGATTGCAACCCCCAACTTCTTCTCTGGATCAAATTTTAATTCAAATTTCTCTCAACTCCTGTCTTTTGAACCTGCCCACAGACATGCACACCCCAACATCCCTCGTCCCTTCAGCCCTTTTTATGGTGTTGATATAGATGGCAGCAGCTAGCTACAGCTTTAAGGAAAGAAAGGGAGGTAAGCATTCCACCCTTCCAGCAGCCCTTGGGAAAACTCTGTACCCCAGAGCTATTTGTGGCTGTGCAGTGCACCATAGGCCAGAAAGGGGACATGACGAAATCTCTTCCCTGCCTAACTCCACAGCCCACTGTTGCTACCTGCCATACTTGCAAAGCAAGTCAGGCTGAGGGACTGATGGTTAAGTGAGAGGGAAGGGGCTGGGTAGGTGGTAGCTGAGAAGTAAGTCTGGGTATTCAGAGGGCTGGGTAAGCCAAATTTTAATTGCCTCAGAATTAACTAAGCTTTTTCCCCCGCAGAACACAAGCAGCTCAACAATCTCTTATTTTGTAAGTTCTAGTATAACCACTAACTAGGATAGAATGGCACTCCATTTCTTTATTGGCAAAATTTTAAACTAGTTAACAAAATGAGGGCTTCTTAGAAAAAAGGAGAGTTGGCGACAGAGGGGTGTGATTACAAGAATATGGCTAACAACAAGTATAAAGTTTTTCGGGAAATAAGAGCTATGCTGCATCTAAAATAATGATGGTAATTTCAGGTCAAACTTTCATACAAAGATTTTTTTTCTTCCTATTTTCAAGAGGATCTAATGGGAGCTAATTCAAGGTTAAACCCAAAAATATTAATTAGATACATCAAAACACTCCAGCATATTCTATTTACTCTACATCACACACTTTCTAACCTATGACACTGAAACACAGAAGGGATGTCATTAGAAAATCACTATTGCGTTTTTCGCAACAGGATGACAGATAAAACTGCAGAGAGCCTGAAGCTGGTTTTGTCCTCCCAGCAAAGAAAATCCATCTCTCTCAATACTGGAAAAACAGCAGAGCTTGTACATTCACTCACAATGCTACTGTGCTTCAGCTTCATGAAGATTACCCAGCAGTTACCGGTACTTGCAAACTTGCTGCCAAAACTAGTTTTAAGCAGCAAGAGAACCCTGATTTAAGTAGGGCTGCTTCAATGCAAAAACCAACATAGACCTCACCTAAATGAGGAACAATACACTAAGCACTGGCATTAAATCTGGACTTAGAACAAATTATTTGTAAATATGTATCAACAGATCTATCACACTGCTCATGATGTACCAGCATTTGTCTGACTCAAGTGCACAAGTTCAGCAATTATTTTTGCAATCAAAGATTTAACCTCCTCTCTGCAACTGTTAAAGACTAGAAATTTACATATAAAATAAAAGCTGGGGTTCCCAAGGTCTATGGGATGCACAGGTGGTTAAGTGGAGGGGCAGATGCAGTCTTCAGGATGTTGGATGCTCAGCCTCAATTTAAATCTAAAGCTTATTGGAAGGAAATAATTCTTAAGCATTTTCACCTCCCTTTTCAGCAGTACCTGAATACAGTATATAAATCTAAAAGCTTTTTGGATTTAGAGACCAAAGAAAGCTGCATTTTTATGGTAAAGCACAGCAGGAAGTCTAAATTAAGACTTCTTAACTCTTAACGGAGGATCAGTCTACCTTCTTAGTACTGTTGTGCTTGAATCTAAACACCCCATAACTTACCCTATGTTAGATGCATTGTTTGCCAATGCAGAATGTTCCAGTGTAATTAGAAATGCTCTGAAAAGGTGAGTTGATGTGGTGACATTTTCATTTATCTTGCTAAGGAAGTTTCATGAATTGTTAATTACAGAATACCCTGAGATACTGGGAAAGCTGTAGACTTATCTCTATAGTGCATTAATAGAAGGTGAAAAGGTGAGGCTTAATAAGCTGGAGCAAGGACTGGGTTAAAATACACAACTGGTGAAGAATTCCAGACTATTTGAACCTCAGGAGCTGCATCTTCCATTTCCAGTTAAGAAGGCAAACATCAGCCACTCACTGCAGTTGAATTAACAGCATAAATCCATCCCACATTAAACTACTTTCTTGGCACAATTTATTTTTCCTGGACACCCCCCCCCCAAAAAAAATGCTGTTAGCAAATCATTAACGATATTCTATTCTAAACTGTCAGTTTAACAGCCCTATAAAAACATTTTAGAGTGTTTTTTTATTATTTATAAAAGTGTGCATGCTGTAGATATTAAAACTGCAGTCACCCTTACAGGCATCTCAGTTCTCTTTCAATCTTTCATGCCTAATCTATTCAATGAGACACAAAACGCCTTAGCTGAAGGCAACAGTTTGCTATATTGGAAAGTGCCACATATAGCGTAGTACGAGAAATTATATTGTACACTTCAAGACACTAGTCAAGCCCTTTGAATTAATTTTTTATTGTTTTGTTTTTTAAGATGAAGGGCAGCGAAGTGGCGCAGCATAATTTCAGATTTTTTCTAGACATTCACGTTTAAGCCACTCATTGAATAATGCCTCTCAGCCTTCTCCTGTGTAAAAGCTTTTGGCATTAGTGATCACTGGCTTCACTTTTGCCATTGTGATCCCACACTATGGAATGCTATTCCATTCACTGAAAATAGGGAACTCAAGCAAATAAACAGAATTGTATCTCAAATTTGACAGCAACTTTCCAAAGTAGAAAGTATACTTTTACTTCATGCTGCATGACTATTTCATATATTTTTTATGTTGTTAAGTATATAATGGGAAGAGATAATGATGAATTAAATAAGAGTACTGCAGGTTTAATTTCACATCTTGGCTATAATCTGACAAAGAAGAAGTCACCAAATACAGCAACTAGGTCCTGTCCCAAGCCAGGGATTAACTAATGCCCCTCCCCAAACCTTCCCCAGGCCCACCCCCTCCCACAACCCTTTCCAAAATCTCCCAACTAGACAACACTGTTGGCAAATCAAGACAGCATGAAACATACATCAATAGAAACAAACATGTGACATGTGCCAATGCATCAGGTTAGGTATCCTATTAAATGACACAGTTCTCCACATTAGCATTTCTGCTTGGGAGCCAGTTGTACCTTTGCCACTGAGGGATAAAGTTTACATTTGAGCATGCTCCGTGGTGCATTTACAAGTGCTGCAATGCTACAAAGGAGATTGAACACCTGAAGCTTTTCCCTGTGACTTCTTTTCAGGGACATAATGCAACTGTCCCACCATGCAGTGACACTCAAAAGTACAATCCAATGTTGTAGCACAAATTACAACATCCAGTTTAGTAGGGTGTAAGGCATGTGGACAAGAAGAGATATCAGCAGTATGCAGCAGGAAGAGAAAGAATTCCACACCAGCAGAAAGCATCGGTGGCTCGATGCTTCAGTTCACTAGTTTTTAAACTCATTTTGAATCCCTGATTCCTATTTATTGAGGCTGGAATTCATTTAGTTTCTGAGGCCGTATGCTGTTGAGTGAGTGGTGACCAATTCCTTGCGTTTCTGTTCATTGTTAAGATGATCAACATATTGACTGAACCTGTAGAAAGAACAGAGCACCAAGAATGCCTCGCAGGGTATTGTAACTTGGCCGCCTCCTCTAAGTGTCACTGTTCTAAATTTGGGTAAGGGAGTGGGGTTCAGGGAGTCAAACCGGCCCAGCCACTAGCACTGTCACAAAATAAGTTTCTTTAAAAAAACAAAAGGCAAACAAGATTATGAAGCCCTCCTTTACAGAAGCAGCTCATTAAAAAAAAAAAATCCCGCAAAATCAAAGTGTTAGGCTTCTCCATCTAAAAAAAGGTTACACGCATGCGCTGAGAAAGTGACCACCACACAGATCTCAACAGCACCTTACTGTACAAAATCTAAGACTTAAAAGAACTAAGCTCACATTTCAGCCTTCTTTAACTGAAAGGATAAAGAGGCCTAGCTATGGCTGGGACAACATACACAGGGGCATTTCAGAAGACAAGGCAGAGGTGAAGCTAGTAGCCTTGACTTTCAGGTTGTCAAAACTGTGTTAATAGGGAAGGGGCACTTCATGCACAATATGTGTTTTACAAAATACATATCCAAGAAAAAGCAAGAAAACCCCACTTTGCACTAGAATGCAACACTCAAATATTTGCTCTGCCAAAGGCTGCCGCTGATGTCGTGTCTGACAAGAGGAAGCATGTGAAAGAGGCAAGAAGAGGGGAGAAAAGGAAATCCAAGTTTCAGTCTACTTTTCAAAATCTGTTTCTCTCAAAGGGCCATCTTCAGTCATCTGATGTCGGACAGTGCACTCTCCTTTGAGAATGATGTGGTCACAACAGGAGTGCCATTGTTAGCCAAATAGCCTTGCCTCAAGGTTTCAAAGTATGAAGCCTGCACAGGTTTGTGATACTGCAGAACTTTTATGGCGTCATCTATCTGAAACCATTTCCGTTTCCTTCCTGTAGAAATAGAGGGAGGGGGAAATTAGTAACAAAGCAAAGCAATTGATGATTTTATAGTTCCTTCTATAGATAATTACCACAGACATATAGTATGCCTATTCCTACTGCAAATGCACTGCAACAGCACACAGTAATTCAATGGCACCTGTGATACGATGACTCACTGAATGTTCACTTCTTCAATATACAATTGTAACAATTAACTTCACACAATACAACATGGGGGGGGGGGGGGGACATGGACCAACCTCTAGCCTGTGGGCTCAATTTTGCATGCTAGGCCTTCCCAACCATCCCACCAGCCTCTCCATAGAACCTCATACCCTCTTCAGGTTCTCCTTTCCCCACCTTTGAGCGGTTTCCCTCCTACCAGCAGATCAGCACATGTATGGGAGGAACATGAGAAGAGTCTGCTAGTTCAGGCCAATGGCCCATCTACTCCAGCATTGTGTTTTCACAGTGGCAACCAGATGCTTATGGGAAGCCCAAAAGCAAAGTAAGAGAATGGGATGGATATCCTTTGGTAGTGTACTTTGGGCTTTAGCCCCAGTCATGCCAATATGCTGTCCCCAATAACCAGCTCTCCAAAGGAATGTGGCACTTGGAGGAGGAAGGTTCTTCAGCCCTACAGTACATTACAACAGCAAATCTTTAGTTTAACAAATATTTCCCAAATTTTTTAAAAACTTGTTTCTTCTAAAGGAGAATGAGCTGGAAAATAGCGCATTTAGTAAGGAAGCTCCTGAGACTAAAAGAATGCAGCTGCTCACTTTTCTTAGAGAAAATCAATGGGAGAAGGAAAGTTATACGGAAAACTGCATATCACTGTGTTGCCTGTGAAGTTCATTGAGAGATATATGCATCGCTTTCCATTCTGTAAATAATTTAGGCAGCAATCCTAATCCCACTTATCTGAGAATAAGCCCCACTGATTTCAATAGGATTTACATCTAAGTAAACAAGGTTAGGACTGTGGTTAGTTTGAAGCTGGGAAATAAATTTGGTAAGAAGCAATTTTCTAAGTAATATGCTATTTTACAGGATGTATAACCTCATACAGAAAAGTGAATCAAAACATGGGCATGAAGAAGCACTGGATGAAAAGAATAATACATTAATATGAATTTTGCAATGATTTGAGACTGATATAGGAGGGGCAATTAGTAAATTTCCTTTCCCCCCTTTAAAAAAAAATAAATTTCCTTTTCACACGCTAATCATGGGAAAACTAAAATTAAAAAATCAGTGATGCTGCAAAAAAAAATAATAATCATGGAAACAGATAGTTAAGACTCTTCCACTTCCAAAATCTGGTTTTTAGCCCTCTTTGTGACTGTTCAGTTCTTTAAATCAAATTCTCTTTGAAATCAACAGTACTAGAATTCTTTATCTGTCTTTTTTTACAGGAAGCTGGAATTTAAAGGAGTCTGACAAGAGCTGCCAAGTCACGAATATTTTGGCAGCTGGATGCTGATGGTTGTCCTTTTCTACTTTAAACAAAACAGTACAATTCTAATTCTTACACTTTCTCTCCCCCACACCCCGGCCACAATCACCTACATATATAAAACAGGACTGGGAAAAATATTTTCAGCCTGGGAGCTGCATTCCCTCATGGGCAACCATCCAGGGGCCACATGCCAGCGGTGGGTGGAACCAGAGACAAAGGTGGACAGAGAGTTAAATGTGATTCTTTGGCTGCATTCCAGGCACACAAAAATCAGAGGTTGCTACACCCACCCTACATTCATCCGGTTAAGCAGCATCTACCAGAGTTCAAGATGCCAGGCAAAAGCAGTAAAGGCGGGTGTGAAGCAGGGCTAGTGAAAAGTGTGGCCTGGGGGTGAATCCCAAGGGCCAAAAAGAAAGAGTGAGAGGATTGCAGTCTCTACACCCGATATAAAGCTGAATCTAATACAGAGAAGAGGATTCTGCTATTACAATCCTACAGAGAATCAGGAATACAGATGAATGTAAGTGTCTCACCAATATTCACAGAGTCCTCCCAGTCTTCCAATACTTCTGTGACAATAAGTACGTAAACATATGTTCTGTGTTTTCTGTCCTGGTTCTAAAAGGAGGAGCAGCATTAAAGTTAGGTTCCAAGGTTCATAACACCTGCAAAAGTTTATTCTTAAGGAAAGTGGGGATAGGTATATTGTTAAAACATTTCTACCAACAGCAAAGCCCTACCAAGATAAATGATGAAGATTCAAAAGTAGTTAGAACACAAAACAATTCAAAACATTTCCAACATATTTTTTTACTAGTTTTGTCCTGACATCTTGCCAAACGTTACTGTTTTCTAGCTCCTCAGTCTTGAGAAACCTACAAAACATAGGGAAATTGAACAATCTGTCTCAGTGGATGCTCTATGTTTTCAAAATTCAATCATGTAACATGCATGATACCACAATGGCTGCATCTGCAAGTGAAAGTAAGGCATAAGTGATGATGCAGGGGAACCTCCAGCCCACTAGGGCTTCAAATCACACCCACCTGTCCCACACCTGACATCAAACATCATATATGACACTGGGTTATGGGGCAGGTAAAGACATAGCCAGCTTCTGATTGTCCCTTGGTAAGTGGGACTCACTGACAGCAGTCATCAGCTGACTGGCATTGGTAGGAACCCTGTTATAATTTATCCTTCTGTAGGTAGTTTTGCATCCCTGGTCTAAAGAGTCAAAAACACACATAAGAGAACAAACTTCAACTAGAGTTTCTTTGCAAAACAACTTTTAATTCATGTTCACTTCACCTAGCAATTATAGGAACTACTTTCAGTGAACTTTGCCAAACCAAAGTAGTTCATTCCAAGCACCGTTTGTAGCTTACAGGGATGTGTGAACAGGGCCATTGAGAAAAGTGTTAATCAACTCTTCAAAATGCTTATACTTACCTCAAAAATTCCTACTAATCTTCCTAATGTCCCTTTCACTCCAGCCTGTGAGAAATTCAAAGACAAGAAAGAAAGATTTAATGTTCTAAGTTACAGCTCAATATTTCAGTCTGGGCCAAATTACACATGGTGCAGAAGGTCTATGACGGAAAAAGCTTATGGAAGATCCCAAAGCTTAAAAACAGCTGGGAGGGTCGGGGGAGAGGATTGGCTTCTGATAGCAGCACTAGGGTAGAGGATGTTTAATCCTTTCCTCATGTAATTTTCATGATTACAATTGCCCCCAAAGCTGCTATCCGTCCCCCAGTGTTTGTGAGTTAAGCGGCTTTGAGAAGGGACATCACAAAGTGTTTAAAACCAGCAGGGGAGGGGAGGGGTGAGAGAAAATTTGGGCCAAGAAAAGGAGGGGTTAAATGCACATATGTATGCATGTAATCTGGTGTTTCACACCACACCCTCTCAAAGCTACATTTGAGGGAAGCACATCACCAAGAGGAAGTACATTTCTACATATACGAACTCTAGACCCAGTGCCTGAAGTCAACTGGCAATACTATTAACAATCTGTTGAAAGAGGTACTCAGTGAAGTATTCGAAAATCCCTGCCCTGCATCATAATAACTATTATAGTTATGAGTACTGGGGCAAATTCTACAGCAGTATCCATCTCAACTCACAGATGGAACTAACAATGAGTTTTGTTCATAAAGAGTTAACAAAACCATAACACTATTAATTGGTTAGAGATTTGTTTCAATAGAGGGACTGTTTTGAGAAGACCAAGGAAAAATAGTAAGAAATTGATAAGCAGCACAAACAGCTTAGGTCCGAAGCAAGTTTTGGAGATTTACCTCTTCACAAACTTCCCGCACTGCAGCCACACTAGGCTCCTCTTCAGGCTCCATACCACCACCTGGGACAATCCATCTATCGGGATGACGACTACTGCTCACTAACAGCACCTACATGGGGGGAAACAGAGTACTTGCATATAAACATTATTTCACTATATGGTTGCCCAACTTCAGAATACAATCTTGCTACAAAAGAATGCTGTTGATGGGGGGGGGGTTAAGTTCCTATAAGAAATCTCTCACTTTCTTTTTTTGCTAATCTTCTCTCTATACTTAAGGAGTCATCATGTCCTCTTGAGCTTCATTATACACAGGCAAAGGAAAAAGCTTAAGGAACTACTGGGTCAAGTCCCATGATCAGAAATACTCAAAGAAAAGCAAGTCCAAGTGGGATGGGAGTTTCTTAAAGGCGACATACTGAAGGCACAAAGACAGACAATTCCAACAAGTAAGCACCTGAAGAAACTGTGTGGCTGCATATGAAGCTTACAGATGAGCTGAGATGTAAGAAGGGCATGTATAAGAAATTACTCTTGTGGTCCCTTCCAACTCTACAATTCTATGGTTCTATGGAAGAAAGGAGAAATCATGAAAGAAGAGTATACATGAGTAGTCAACAGTTGCAGGGACCGGTGGTCAAGCAGGCCAAAGCTCAGAATGAACTCAAGCTTGCGAGAGGTTAAAAATAATTTTTAATGTTTCTTCAGCTATGTTTGAAGTAAGTGGAAAAATAAGCAAGTAGTAGATCCCTTGCAGGGAGAAGAAGGAGAAATGCTACTCAGTGACAGAGACATGGCGGAACTGCTCAACACCTACTTTGCCTCTCCACCACCAACCGCCTCCTCCACCACTATGTTGGAAGTACAGCCTGACTCACCACTCCAGAGGGACAGGTTTGTATCAGACTTCCTCAAGTGGGAATGCACCTACTGATTACCAAGAGCAATGGGGGAGAGTTTCTCATCAACAGTGCCTGGGCAGGCTACCTGGTTTCAACATCCACCTTTCCACTGGTGGTAGGCCCAAGAGTCCAACCATTTCCATCATGGCCCACTATGCGAGGACACCAGCTGGTTGAACATCTGGCTGAGCTGTCTTAACAAAAGGCAAGACATTCTTCAAGGGGTGCATCAGGCTCTTCAGAAGAACTAATCTGAACAGGAAAGTTTTGTTTTCACCTCCTGCATTCCATGTTATTAACAGACATACTACACCAAGGAACTTGAAGATACCTCCTTTTTCAAGAGGTGTTCTATGACAGTATTCTTTAAACATTAATACTCTTACTGTCACTTTTACCTCCACATTCTCCCAGTAAAATATGGTGGTAAACCTAACCCCGACTAGAGACTCTAAAAGCATTGTTTGAGCATCCTGCCATTCCCTGCAACTAGAAACTCCTGCTGGCACTTGGTACTCCGAACTCCTCTTATAATATGTTGAACTGCATCAGAATAATTATCAAAGGGATTGAAGATAGCTGCTCTGGGGATTTCAACATAAATTATTAAATTGACAATATGATTACAATAAATTCGGACAACCACTTCAGAACAACCACTTCAAAAAAAGTAAATCCATGTGCCCGTTCCATAGCATTTATCCTGCACACAGACATATATCTTTATCCATACTGAAGATCTGGAACGAACTCACAAGAAGCCACATAATGTTGGAGGTTTCGTCCCCTTTCACATTTAGTCAAAAGCAGAAGTGAAACCTTCCAAACTCATTCTTGCAGCCGTTGAAGAAGGGAGGGTGAGAATCTGATGCTTGCACAAGCACATTCTCATAATGCTAAACCATGCTTTAGCATTTTTTATGAATGAGGCCTTTATGTCACCTGATTAAAAGACATGGTTGTATTTGCTTGTAGTGGTACCTCAGGTTACATACGCTTCAGGTTTCAGACTCCACTAACCCAGAAATATGGGAGGCCCCATTAGCTAAAGTGGTGTTTCAGGTTAAGAACAGTTTCAGGTTAAGAACAGACCTCCAGAACGAATTAAGTTCTTAACCTGAGGTACCACTGTATTATCACTTTGACTCAAAATCCTTCAGTAGAAGAATGCACATTAATTTAGTAATTTATGCTGCAGAACAAGGGCTTGTTTCATTTTTGTTTTGCTACATAAGTTTGGTCTTACTGACAAGTTGTGATTTGCCCTTTCTGTAGACTAATTGTCCTGCAGGTGGATTGTGCCTTTACCTCTCTCTGACTGCAGGCACACTTTTTACGGTCAACAGTTTTGTATCCCACACTCTCCAGGAGAGCTTCTAAAGGAAATAAGTATATGAAACTCTTTCAAGTTAAAACAGAAAACTTGAAGAGAAAAGAGGCCTCATATAATTCAGAAACTCAACCGCAAATCAGAACTGCTGTTTGGAATCTGAAAAGTTCAAATTGAGCTGTGGGGTGCAAGGCATATGAGATAAATAGTGTGGTATTAAGTAACTGCTACTGCACCAGCCCCAGGAAAGGGTCCCAGCACTAGCTCTTGATCCAAGTGCCCTTGCACAGACGTGTTTGAATCCTACCATTCAATTCCATAGGATACTTTATTTGGCTAGTAACTCTTCTATAAGACAATTTTACCTATGAGATTTGGAACTATTTGATCACTGAATGTCCATTCCAAGTTGAATATTGCATTTATATGAGTGGGAATCTTTGCCAGATGCAAGCATGGAAGACTAAGAAAACTCCACCCGTCCGCCTGACCAACCTTAAATGCCCCCCCACCCTAGACCTCTGGTAGGGGTTGATGGGAGTTTAGTCCAACAATATCTGGAGGCTACCAAGTTGGTTATTCCTCTTCTAGGGTCTTGTAAATAGTTTTGTTTTCCTCTGGTATGGTAGAAGAGTTCAACTTTTCTAGTCCAGGGAAAAAAGCAACCCCAGGAAGGTAGCAAGTTACAATGAAAATCTCTTTGCAACCCTCCATCCTATTCATAAGAGGTACTATTTCTTAAAGAGGAAGCATGTTTTGAACAGAATGCTGTAAAAACAAGCTGTCACACCACAGACTACTACACAAGTGAAAATGCAAAATGTAAGGCTTATAATGAGTTCAAACAGGGCTGGAAAGTTCTTAGAGTGAAGAAAATTCTCAAAAAGGGCAGGAAAGCCCTAACATCTTTATGCTGGCACCAATGAATTCACATTATTTTCAAATCCTGAATTCAAGAACAACAAAAAGGGATAACCTTTAAATTTTGTTATTTTTCCACATTATAGACCATAAATCATGATCAGTAACAAAACCATCTGTATGCCACACAGCCTGGTTTAGGGTTGTTCTACTTTACCTAAGGCAGTATCTCAAACTAAGCACAGTGATGTAGCACTGCTCCACTTACTATCTAAACTGTTTACAAACCAACATCATACTTCAGGATGAAGGGTTATGCCAGTAGAGAACATACAGTGGTACCTTGCAAGACGAATGCCTCGCAAGACAAAAACTCGCTAGACGAAAGGGTTTTTTGTTTTTTGAGCTGCTTCGCAAGACGATTTTCCCTATGGGCTTGCTTCGCAAGACAGAAACGTCTTGCAAGTTTGTTTCCTTTTTCTTAACACCGTTAATACAGTTGCGACTTGACTTCGAGGAGCAACTCATAGAATGCGGTATGGTAGCCTTTTTTGAGGTTTTAAAAGACTTTGGTGATTTTTGAAGCTTTTCCAAAACTTTCCCGACACCGTGCTTCGCAAGACGAAAAAAATCACAAGACGACAAAACTCGCGGAACGAATTAATTTCATCTTGCGAGGCACCACTGTACTTGAACCACCCCCTTGTAGCACCATTTCCCAGTTTCAGAAAGAACTGCACAAGTCCCAAATGTAGCACAACAGGGTTCAGTTCCTACTACTGGAGCACTGTATTTCTACATTTTGGCTCCCCTAAGCAGTAGATAAGAACGCCTTATGAATTCTTCAGGTACTCAAGTCTGATATGCTTACATCAGACTTACATCATATATACTGACCATCTAATTTTTTATCTGTCACATATTTCATTCTGCTTCCATCCAAGACTGGAAATTAGCTAAGTGCCAGGCGCATTTTGCACCTGGCTATCAACCACTTGTGACCAAGTGAAGATGCCTGGGCCTGACTTCTCCACCATCTTGGAGGTGCATGCCTGGGGATCATTGGATCTGGGCTGTTTTCACACACTAATACCGCATCCTGTAGAATTTTATCTGTACCCTACCCTCTTGGCAACACTGATTTGAACCCTCATAACAACAGAACTCCCAATCTATTTCAAATTCCAATTGATATAATTCAGTAGCAACCCTACGAAAGAACAGATAAATAGTCTCAACGTCTACAACAGTTTGATAGCCATGCTCATAATCCACAATATAGACACCTGCATTTGTCCCTGCGACGAGGTGAGCTCTCGTTGCTCAGTCCCAGCTCCTGCCAACCTAGCAGTTCGAAAGCATGTCAAAGTGCAAGTAGATAAATAGGTACTGCTCCAGTGGGAAGGTAAACGGCGTTTCCGTGCACTGCTCTGGTTCGCCAGAAGCAGCTTAGTCATGCTGGCCACATGACCCGGAAGCTGTCTGCAGACAAACGCCAGCTCCCTAGGCCAGTAAAGCAAGATGAGTGCTGCAACCCCAGAGTCGTCTGCAACTGGACCTAACGGTCGGGGTCCCTTTACCTTTTACCTCTCTTTCTTGAGTTATTTATCTTGCCCAGTTGTCAGCTCTTGCTGCATGATTTATGTTTTGGTTTTAGATAAGCTTGATAACCATTTTCAGAATTATCATTCAGCTAGAGTGCCTTTCACCACCTCTTCAGAATGTGCACTAGCACAAAGTCAATAAATAATTGGATGATCACGGATAACTTTATGAAATGAGTATAGGCCTTACTAAGTCAAAGTGTCTCCAAGATTCCCAACACTTAAAAAATCACTTGTAAGACTATGTAACTGAATAACATTATCTAAGGCAAAATACAATACAATTCTACACCTGATTTATATGAAACAAATTGCGCACAGGATGTTCACCTATGTATAATTAATCACTTTGCTATGGGATCCTGCAGAGAGAATGCATGAGAGAATAGCTAGTCTATATACAACTGTCTGGTACACATTTTTGTGAGAACACAGTATAAGGAAAGCAGAAGCAGAAATCAGTCAGAAGCAGTTAAACAACTAAATGACCAAAAAATAGGAATGCTGAAGAATGTATAGAACAGAAGAGAAACTGAATGAATTCATTGCATCATTATCCCTGCAGAAATGGTCATATGATACATACAGCAAACTTCTTTTTCAATGTAGTGCACAGGATGTCGTTTTGGAACTAATGAAAAAGAATCAGAAGTAACAACTCACTAAGCCTCATGGTATTCACTTGGGAGTTGTTAAATATGAAAATGGTGTTATTTAAACAAAGATCACAAATTTGTCAACCTAAATCTCATTCTAGGTAAATTCATAGAAAGCATTTAGACCTGTAAGGCCATCAAATTCTCATATAAGACTTACTATGGAATGCTCAGCATGACTTCTAAAGCAAAATAAATTGCCTCATCAATCTTCGTGAGTATCAGTTTCTGGAGTATCAACGGGCATGCTTACACATATGATCCAGTTAAAACTATGGTCTGGTTCTCTGGTTGCAACTAGCCATTACCTGTTGTAAAGGAGGATTCCTAGTTGGTACACAACACTAAATCAAGATTCTTTGAAAATGAAAATTAACTCAGCAAAAGTCTTTCTGCCCATGCAGGAAGAAGAAAGGGAACTTGAGCTCAAAGAGGCTCATGCACAAATTGCTAAATAATGGTTAAATGTTACATGGCCTACTCAGTTGATTTTCAAAATGCTGTCCACAACATTTTCCAACTAAACTTAAGATCCATGTGGTGAAAGAAAAATTCTCTTTTGGACTAGTACACTACACTACACTACACTACACTACACTACACTACCACTACCACTACCCTACCCTAAAATAAAACCAGAGTTTGTACACTAGATAATAGCATTCCCCCTTCTAAAAAATGTTGACTAATGTGAGGTCAGGGGTACATGAGGAGGAAGCCAACCATGCAGGTATAAAGATTGAATTATATAAAGGTCCCAAGTTGCGTAGCAGCACATTTGTTTGAACGCTCTCCTATGTTAAAACTTGCTTCACATAAAAGGCTGTCATGGGGAGAAGGACTCCAGCCTAGCCTTCTCATTGACTTATTTGTTCTCTTTGCAGCAAGCATTTGTTTTACTTACAGAAGCATTCAAACATGTGACCACCTCCTGAAATCTGAACTGACATAATCCAGGAAATGCTACCATGCAGTATTTCTAAACCAAAGCTTGATCGTTAAGAGAATTTTAAAAAAGAATTAGATCCATTTACAGAAGATGGTGAATCAATAACTGTTAGGGGCCTGTCATCAATATTTTCACTAGTATATTCCTACTCACCCCCATGAGCATATACTGCTAAAGAAGATTTCAGCCCATAAGAAAACCTGCTGGAGTAAGAAGCCTTTCTCATTTTGTTGGCTACAGTAAAAGCCTGCTACAGAGGAACTCTTAACCAACATATCAAAGCATAATGCTTTATGGCCAGGTGGTTTGTCACAATCCTGTGTCCTAACCTATAGTGTGGTTATAAAAGAGGAACCCTCTGATGTCTCTTCATCTATGAGGGTCATGCAACAGAGTTCTGAAATTGGTAAAATCAATGGGGTGAGAAAAGCTTGTTGAAAAACCGATTTTCAAATTTCCATACAAGTTTAAACATATATGCTATTTCTCAGTGAAAACCACTCAGCAGTTAAATTCTGAAAGCAATGCTCTAATTAAGTAATTATTCAGAAAACAGCAAGGGCATGATCCAGTTAAGTTAAGCATTAACTTCTCACTGTTTTGAACTGCAGACAGTTAAGTATGTTATGTTGTTTGTTATATAGTTGGAAATCAATTTTTAGCTATTTTTGTAATTTATTTGGTTGTTAAGTTGAGCCATCTTTCTGTATAAAGCAACAAATAAATGCAATACATATTAATAAGTATTTGCTCAGCATACTGTTAATGATGTTATTTCACTGTGGTGTCCCACTGGTGCAACACACTTTCGCCTGCACAAACAGGGCTTCCCCTTCCTCCAGAGCAGATTACGGATGCAGAAGGTAGGAGAGGATGAGGAAGTCCCAGGTTGCTTCCACTGGCATGATGTTGGATCTCACCCAGAGTTATTTAAAAACTTTAATTTTGCATAGATCATTCCCTGGAGGAATCTGCTAAATTGAAACACTCCACAGAACAAAAATTCAAATAGCACTTCTCTAAATCTTCAGGGGAAGTGCGAGAAGCATCCTACTGTATATAGAACCTATTACGACTGCTCAACTGACTTAGTGAGAACACAAGCAGGAATTGGATCTTAATACTCACTTCACTCCCATGACCTGTCAGCAAAGTGATCAAATGGCAGAAAGAGTGAAGGAGGGGGAGGAGCTTCTGGCAAAGTTCAATAGCAAATGACATAGGTATAGCAGAAATAAGGCGGCTTGTTTTTTGCAGTTCGTACTACTACTTACTGAAATAGGAAAGAAAGAGAGCTCATTTGAGAAAGTGGTAAAAGCAATCTGCCAAGTCCCTCCCAACAATTTTACTAAACTCTGAGAAAAAGGGTCATGAAATCAATTTATTTTGGGATCTCTCTTATAACACTGGTTAACAATTCTACCACCACTCTTTTTGTTCCCTTTTCTTAAAACCCATTGTGAGTTCAGGTATCTGGTATTATGAAAAGCAACTGAAGGACTGTCAGGAACAAAGGAAGGGGGGAAAGTGAGGAAAATACAGTTTGATTCTCTCCCTTCAGCTTAACAAGCAGGTCTTTGTATGAACGATATACACAGAATGGAAAAGCGGGTGGGTAAAGGAGTTGCTTTCCTCTTTTGTTTTGTTTTTTTAAAAGAACAATTGAGTTGTGTCATGTTTTTCATTCTGAAGTAATATTTAAACTGCAGAATATGCTAAAAAGCAAAAAGCTCCAATTGTTCTTCGGTTCTCAAAAATCATATAATAGTAGGAACATGTCACTTTCTGGAAAAGCCTCAAACCTTCAACTTTCAAGGGTCTTAAAATCAGATAGAACGTTTTATGCAGCCAGTTTATTACATGGCAATTTCCCCCCAAACCTAGGGCCATCATCTATGCATTCTATGTTTGGGGCCACATGGAGAGAAAAGAGGATGTCCATGTAACATTGGATACAGCCCTAAGGCTTCAATCCTAATCCCATTTACCTAGGAATAAGCCCCAGTGAAGTTTCTGAGGAGATATGGTTAGGATTGCATACTAAGAATCTGAATAGTTTATCTAGCATGGAAAAGTCTTTTGCTTAATGCTTAAAAATAAGGTACCCATATCTGACACATTTTTATTTCAAGAAAGAGAGAATTGTCAACTTCTCTGGAAGCCTGTCAAAATTAAGTACTGTTCCAGGTGAGCAAAAAATGAAGACCTCTAAATTGGAAAATGATAATATTCGGTCTCCTCCTTTTACGTTGTGAATGTCTCAAACACATGTACTTATGAATAGGCAGAATAAACATTATAAAAATACTTGTGCAATTTTGCAAAAAAATAATAATAAATAAAGTCACATACAACATATATAAATAAAAACCACAAAAACTACCAGAATCACAGATCAGCAGCTGTTAAAAAAAAGATTCCCTTCCTCTAACTGTCTATGTATGCTTGGCAGCATAGGAAAGTTTTCAGCAAATGTCTAAAAGTTAATACTCAGGACACCTGCTAAATCTTTATTGGAAGAACATTTCATCCAACTGGGCCAACGATACTGAAAGCTCAAGTTTGTGTTATCAGATGAGCCTCACCAACTCAGGGGTAAGTAAACTTTTTGTGAGATGCTAAAAATGCAGCCCCCACTTTCAGACTGTTCATGTTCCAAAAGCGACTTAATGCACATGCATGTGAGTGGTCAGAACACACGTTATCGTAGTAAACTTTATGAACTTATTTGCAAGGACCAATTTTAAAACACTGAAAGTGGACCATAGCTTATGTTTGCAACAATGTAAATTTGTGATATTTACATTTCACTAGAGATTTCCAAAGCTTTTTGTTTTCCAGCGTCTATATTAGGTAAAGATACTTTTTGACAAGAAAAGAATACTTACACCCCAGTACCATGTGTGAGACTGAACTGAAACAACAAAGAACAAATTCCAGTGAAGTTTCAGCTGACAAGTCCAGGATGTTTTACATGAGAAGCATTATGAATTAGACTGTTTCCATTTGGATTTTGCACTCCAGTTCTACAGTAGATACTGCTGCTTTCTAGTATCTACTCAAGCTGATTGTAACATGTGTTTTAATTTGTAGATTCCAACCATAAGATTTAAAATTGCTATAAAGATAACACATTACAATGCAGAATACTATTTGAAGTATAAGATAACAATAGTTCATTCGTTGTGAGGAAAAAAGATGGATGCTATTATTGTTCCCATGAAGCTTGATCAACTTCTCATCCTCCTGGCATTTTTCGGAATACACTTACTTTCATTGGTTTCCTAGCAAAAGCACTTTTCATTTCATAATTCAATAAAGTTCCAAATTCACTATCTTTTGAACAGCATGCTTTCTACCCTGATCCAACAACTGCATATTTACAGCATAATTCTATGAACAATTCTTGTAAACACCACTATACTTAATGGATCTTACTCCTTCAAAGCTGGGTGGGCTTTGGGAAGGTGGTGGGAAGGCTCTTGGGCCCATCTAAGCATCACACCTTCCTCCCTAAGCCGGGCAGAAGCTTCCCAGGGGACTAGTCCAATACCCCATGTCCACCAACACCACTGGTTAGGATTGTTAAAATTGCTGTGTTAGTGTTAGCAACACCATGATGGTTAGTCATCAAAAATGTGTTATTGATAAACTATACTAAACTTATTTATGGAAAAATGCATATTTGGAAACAAAGTTATCTCAAGATCCCACACTTTAAAAACACATTTTAAATGAGTTCAGTTTGGTTAGGATTCTTCATCTCACCATACGATTAAGTGCTAAGAAGATTACTTCCTCTTCTCAACACTACAATGCTCAAAATAACATTGCATTAGGGTGTATTAGAATTTATCATTTTTTTGTAATGTGCTGAGTTGTCTCAGGAACAATCCAATTTGGAAATATATAAGTATCAATGACACTTGATGGCAACATCCCCCCACCCACAATGTGATAACAAAGACCTTGGACCCACCCCAAACGCATTGCCAACCTCTCAGTTATGATATTAGTTACCCATTTCAGGCACAAATGCCTAAGAATTGTGCCTTCATTGAGCTAATTCAGGCATAACATTCCTGGCTTCATACATAAACTAGAAGTGGGGAACCTCTTCAAACCCACCCATTTATATCAAGAGGGGAGGGGAGGGACTATCATTTGACCTAGATTGGACCAATCCTAAAGCTGATCATGTGAAACTCAACCCAGTTGCTGTGGTGCATAGATGCAGTTTCTACTAAGCTACATTTCCTCCTTTACCTCCTCTTTGTTTTCCTTTCATTATGTCAAACCCTTTCAAAGCTGCCCCTATTTTCAAGTTGAGACATGAACCCGACAGACCCTTATCCAAAGCTGTTGATAGCTAACCATGGTAGTGTGTCCTTTTTTGAATCCCATAAATCGTTATACTTCATAACATGGGCATAGCCAGGATTTTGTGGGGGTGGGCAGAACTTTGTTAAGATGGCAGAACCAATGTGATTGGTCAGTTAAGTATTTCCACTGTATTACTTGATGGGGGGAACTGCCCCCCCCAGCTACACCCATGCTTCATAATCTATTTAAACATGACCCAAGCCTCCTTCAATTGTTGCATTGGGCCATTCAATTTTCTTCTATTTCCCGCTCCCACAGAGCAGTTTCTACTCCCACTGTTCATCCCTCATGATTTGTCTCATTCTCTGCAAAGCTCTTCGTCTTACAAGGAGAGAAAGCAATAAAAAACAACTCAATGGAATGTTCTGCTCTTTGCCACAATGAGCCACCTTCCAAGAGAGCTCACTTGCCCTTCTTCCACCACCACCATTCCTGCTTTGTCCCTTAGGGTTGTGTGTGTAGCCATCTCACACACTTAGTCAAGCAGAAGAGGAAGCCATCTCACATGCTCACAGAAAAGGGTCATTCCTGAGAGGCAAAAATGGTGAAAGGAAGGTTAAGGATAATCCTAAAATAGTGTGGGACCATAAAATTAGGCTGTGGACCGACCACATGGCATGGAGGCTGAAGGTTCTCCATCCCAGTCATAAATCTATGGCTCACAAAGTTGAGAACAAGCATAGAGCCTCAGTACTCCTCCCTCTTCCTCTCACACACCAGCTTCAGAAAGGAAATCCTGACTTAATATCCTGTTCAGTAAATGTACATTAAACTAGTGTTTAGTCCCTATAGGCAACTCAGGTTTGAACAAACCAGGATCTCCAAGACATGTCAGCATTTGAGGGGCAAAAAGGTAAGGGAGCAGCAAAACCAACTGTATGTGTTTGCAGCCACATAAACATTTATGAAGCCAGAAATGTTACTGGCTCACTGAAATACAACTTTACTGGTTTAAACCTGTGTAGAATAGCATACCAATAGGCAGGTTTCTCAGAGAACGGCTGACCTATATGCATAAGACATGAAAACACTTGAAGGAATATTGTTTCCTAATGTATAAAACCATTCACCGCCAAATCATTGTAGCATTACCCAACAAGAGAAAGGAATAATGGTCACAATAGTTTTGATTATATTTCTGTGTTTGTTAAATATGAAACCCACCTCTCCACCAAATGGTGGAAATACTGTCTAATACCCTTTTCTGTTTGGCTATCACCTGTATTTGGTTGCCTTATTAGTAATTTTTAAAATGACTACCCTTTTCTTGAAAAAGTCAGACTGGTCCATTATTGCCTGTTTATTTTGTGCTCAGTTGAAAGTGCTGGTTCTTAACTTTATGCTGCTGTATGGCTTGGGACAAACTTAGCTGGTCTCTAAGATGCTACTGGACAATTTTTATTTTTTTTTATTTTGACTGCGTCAGACCAACACGGCTACCTACCTGAATTTGGGAACCCAGGATCACCTTCACTTTTACATGAATGAACATGTACTCCATTCAACATCTGATGTCCTACTTCTGTCAATGTTTGAAACTCCCCTTGTTCTATGCACATTTTGCAACGGAATTTCCTTAGCGTGAGCAGTTTCTGAGCTCTGGGTGCAGTACTGCGCCTAAGATTTCAGATTAAAACTGCAAAGTAGAAGGAAAAGAGGACCTTTTTCTACCTCCTCACTTCCAGGTACTCTCTGAAGACTGGAGAAGAGACCCTCTCAAGAATATTAAGGGGGTGGGTAGGGGAAGGACTAGACCATGTGAAAAATGAATATACGGTAATATTTTAGCTGCAGTTTAGCTCCTGGTTTTCATATCTCAGTTTCTAACATTGACTTCTGTATGCCTCTGCCAACTGACGTGTAGGAGTGCCTTCTTGAAATGAAGTCAGCCTTATAGAATGACCACTCCAGGAAGGCTCACCTTCTGGCCTCAAGCAAAAACCTTTTCAAAAAGGCTTTGAATAAACTGATTTTACATTTGCTGATTTTAAGTTGCTACAATAAAGGCCATTCCACTTTTCTTTCTGCTGGGGTTATTTAGCCTTTGGTTGATTAAACTATCTATGACATTTTAAACTGTGGGCAGGTATTACAGGTATTACTATGGTATGTATTTTTGTGTTTTTATATTGTAAACCACCCTGTAATCCACAGGTGAAGGGCGGTATAGACAATTTAATAATAATTTAGGTTACTGTATTTTAAAATTCTGTTGGAAGCCGCCCAGAATGGCTGGGGAAACCCAGCCAGATGGGTGGGGTATAATTAATAAATTATTATTATTATTATTATTGCTTATCTTTCATTATGTTGGTTTGTAATCTGAAGTTTTACTATTTTAATAATTTTCTGTAAGTCACGCTGAATTCATTAAAGATAAAGTAAGATAAGAAATACTGGTTTTTATTGATTCTGTGATTTGACATTTATGCTAGATTTTGATATGTTAATATTACTGTACTGAATTTATTGTTATATTGCTTTGTGATTTTAATGCAAATCACTTTGGAACGTCTAAAGTAGAAAACAGCTAATAAGTGCAATAAACAATAGTACAGTACACGTTTTATTTAAAAATACAAGCCATATACAGACAGACACTCTGGCAGTAGAACTATGGTAAGTGCTTCTACAAGCCTTAAAAAGGCTATACTCCAATTCATTTTCCTCCTGGTGGCAATTTCTTCTAGTTACAAATATAATGAGAATGACAATACATTGGATTCAAACTAACTTCTAGTTTAACGTAGGTCCCAATAAAATCAAAGGGCCTGGTTAATTATGACTAAAGAAAATCCTATTGATTTCAATGAAAATAAATTTCAGCAATCTGGATCCAACACAATGAACTTAAGTAACAGAGAACTGAGTAAAACTAACTTGACAGAATATTGGTGCCTTGTTATCCACCAACAGCCTCCAGCAACTAGGCCCAGGAACCATATTCCCTGTGCAACCAAGTCAGCTTGCAGGCAGAGGGAATTACTGACCATGATCTGTTGCTCTACAGAGCCTTCCTGCAGATGGTCAGCAGAAATACTGCAAGCTTTAGTCCAGAAGATCAGGTGACTGGAGAGGCCAACAATGTCCCATAATTGCTGATTTCAACCCAATTCCTCAGTCCAAACTGCAAGAGACTACCTGGAAGTCTACTGGAGCCTACTGAAATACCTGCATTGACAACCCCAATCCGACAGAATTTACTTAGGGAGCTCTAAATGGTAGCTAAGAAAGCTGCTACACTGCACTATTTACTTAGGACTTCCATAAATCTTTAATTCTAATCTCACCTCAGTTATGAAGTTACTATGTAGGTAAAGAGAAGCTGCTCTCTCGTTTAACCTCAGCTGCCTATCTGCAGTATGATGATAACCAAATTTAACCTGCTTTAGAAAATTATTGAAAGGATTAATGACATATTACTTGCATGTTAAGCACTTTGAACACTTCAACACTATATAAATTTTAGATTATTTAAATAAAATTTACATCTAAGATGCCATGTTGTTTAACAGGAATATCTTGATGTTTAACCTAAAATATGTGATAAATTTTATACTGAAATAAACTGTTTAAATGCAAGTTTACCCCCTTCAATATGTGGGGAGGGGGTTGGACTTGTCGGGATAACCAGTCTCTCAATCCCGTTTTTTCTCTCACAAGCCCCTCTAATGGCAATTTCTGGCAAGTAACCAGTTCCTTTTATCCCAGTTTCTTTTTATAAATCCAGAATCAAATTTCTTTCTGCCATGTCATATGATGTGCTTAGCTGAGCATGGTGGTAGCAGATCACTGCCAAATCCCATGCCATGCCACGCCACACCAGTTCATGTCACCGTTCATTGTTTTAAATCTTTCATTCTGCATGCTTTCCTCATTTCTATCCCATCACAATACTGAGCTCTCTTGTCCTCTTAATTGTGCCTTGAGAAAACTATTCCTTCATTCATCCACATCATTTAAGCGACTCTAGAAATCAGGAGGTGCTCTTGATAATTTGATTTTGCCTGTTACTTTCCTACTAAAAATCATATACTTACCCTGTACCATAGTATGTTTTGCTTACTCATGCTTCTGGTTTTTAAAGACCAAGAAGATTAGTAGCCATTCTTTTTAACAGTACAGATTAGATATACAGCCCAATCAATTCACATGGAACTTTATCAGCAGAAAAAGTGGGTCAATATTCCCAAAAACTTGCAATCTAAACCATTTACTTGTTGCAGAGCATTCTTTACATGAAAAGAGCCACAACAGTTTTTGTTTCGACAATTGCACGCGCACACAACCTTTGATCTTTTAACCATAATTTCTAGAGGCTAGCACTTCAGATTCCTTGTGCCACTCCCCTTCAAGCTGCAATCCTATGTGCATGCACACCTACTTGGAAGTTAGCCCAAACTGAACACTGTGGAAGTTACCAAAACATACATGGGATTGCACATTTCCCACATAAAAGATGTAGAGGTAAGAGTATGAAACCCTGGTCAACTGTCCTTGCTTTGGCCCCTAGAAATAAATTATTGTACCACCTGCCTGTCTATGTCTTGGGATTTTAATTCTGATGCCTCTGGAGACTTAAGGTCAGACGTGTAACAATTCAGCGCTTCCTATGAGGACCCCCTTCGTTTACACAGGAACTTACTCTAGGAGATTAAGGTTGTCTACATTGCACACATTCCTGAGCTCCGGGAAAGATGGCCAGATACAGAAGAGAACAGCCCTCTTTCACCTTTTATGAAGGAGAATCTCATCGTGTAGCTTGTATAACTATTTAAAGGTGCAGATACCGAACGTGAAACTGGACATCTGGTCACCCTGGGCCCGAGGCGCAAAGTGTGCAGCCAGAGCTTTTAAACAACGGAAAGCTTTGCTTCTCGGAAGTGTCTTGCCACCTCCCAGCACCAAACGATTCACAGACAGGAGACAGGCGCTAATGAGAGGCGTCATGTCACTTCTTGCCTAGTAACAACCGCATGTTACTCTCGCTACTAGCCACTAAGGAGGAAGCCCCTCCGTCCTCCTTCAAACTGCGGCACGCCGTCTGGGGAAGCTCCGTCTGGGGAAAGGGAGTTGTTCGCACCCTACGAATCCTTCAAGAATAGACACAAGCTCCACCCATCTCCTCATCCTCTGCCCCTCTTTCAGCAGCCCCATCTAGCCTCCTCCCCCATCTCCCCCCGGCTTCTTCGGAGCTTCCCGTTTGATACCCCGCCTCCCTTACATGTCGGGTGTGCCATTGCTAACCGCCCCCCCCCACTTGCAACACTTAGGGAGCCTCTCCTTCTGGCGCCCCTCCTCCTGAATAGCCACCCAGTTCCCCCCACCACTACCACCCCCATCCCGGCTCGTGCTCCCCCACCTCCAGCCGCAGCCCGCCCGCTTCCCTCACTCACCTCTTCCTCGCTCTCGTTGCGGAAGCAGAGGCAAGCCGCCCGTTTCTTGTATCCGTCCCCGTCGTAGGTGCGAGTCTGGTTGGACTTGAGCTTCATCATCCTCCGCTCGGGAGAAGGGGTGGGAGCACCCACTAGGGAGGCAGGCGAGGGACGGGTGTCGGCTACGCGCGGGAGAAGGTCGGGATCTCCCAACCGCGGGGTGGGGGGTGGGGGAAGGAGGCGCGGGGACCCGCTATCCCGGAGAGTCTCTGCCTCACACACCAGCCGAGAGGGAGGGGGAAACCCTCTCCGCAGCCGCTACTCGCTCCTAATGCTACCACCCGCCGTCCGCCGCCTCGCTCCCCCTCTCAGCTCTTCCCACGTCGGCACCCCAGCTGCCGCCAGCGCTCCGGCCACCGCCGCCAACGACGACGACCGCGACGCCATCTTGGGACATGCTACGCCAACGGCGCAGAGGCAGCAGGAGGAGAAAGGCGCTGGCTGAAGCTTTTCGCCTCCGACGAGCCGCTGCGCAAGCGGCGTAGCCGAGGGTTGGGAATCGCTCGCTCGCGCGCGCCCCCGCCCTTCGGTTCCGGACACCCGTTACAGAGCGTCGCCTCCCAGCGCAAGGGTTGCGCCGCCACACTAAGCGGAACGGTGTCGAGAGCAAGGGGGAGGGGCGCCTTTCTCCCTCCGCCGCCATCGCAGCCTTACGCAGCCTCCGCGCGCCGAAACTACACTGAGCCAGATGTCTGGCGCAACGTTTTTGCACAAGGGCTGACAGCGGCCCTGCGTAAAACGCGTAGCCCGACTGAAACAATGCCCATCTTGTGTGAGGAGGAGCAGCACGCCAAAAACGTAACGGCGGAGGAGTCTTGAAGCCAGGCTTGGGAGCGTGAAATGAAAGGGGGAGAGGCTGAAGAAAGGGGTGTCTCCTCTTTATGTGGTGGTGGAGAAAAAAAAAATATAAAAGTCTCCTTTTCGTTAAGTCAAAGGTGCACCTACTTGGAAGGCAGGGCACATAGTAGGTAAAATTATAGGGATTTTCCGCCTCCTTTGCGAATAAATACTGTATAATTTTTCCAGCACTCAGGCTGCAGTATTTTGCCACAGTTATGGTGTGTCCCCGCCCTCCTCGAACGAGCAGGCATATAGCGAGTACTGTCTGCAAGGTGTGCTCTGTGCGACTGTCATTGATACAGGGATGTCTATGGGCGAGCAGCGGCGTGAAATGTTATTTTTAAGTTGTCTTTCTCTTCTGCCTCCCCCACCGTCTGTACAACTTACCAGGCGGTAAGTCACACAGAACTCAATAGAACTTGCTTCCGAGCTGACATACCTAGGATGCAATTACAAATTATAATAGTTTTAAGGCCTGACAAAAACTCTCTCCTGCATTTTACAACAGCAGCAGGACACGGACTCCTTTCTAACCCTAAGAAGAGAATGCATGGCATTTTACCTTCCATCATCTAGGGCAGCTTTAATTACATTCAAATTGAATGAGAGACGTCCTGAAGATGGAGCACATATGCAGGGCCCCAGATGATGATCACAAGGTCCAGGTTGGTTCTTAGGAGGAAAGGATGGCGACAAACTCTGTTCTTCCTTACTGACATATAAAATCAAACCAGACCTCTATCGTTTTTACATTGTCCGTAGGGAATGGTGGTGTTTTTTAAAGGGTGTTTTCAGTCCCTGTATTGCTTTTGACATCTTAAAGCTACAATCCTATACGCAAGGAAGCCCCACTGAACGCATTGGGATATCAGAGGTTGTCATGAAATGCTTAAGACTGCATTGCAGGTCCCCATTCATTCCTACAGTTAGAAGAAATGGCACTTACTTTGAGTTACACCAAGCCAGCTTGTTTTAAGCTCTTGCAGCCCAACAGAGCATAACAAATTGAGGTGCCTCCCTCTCTGGCATCCATCAAGGCCACAGGCAAACCACCCTCTCATTTGCTTAAACATTCAGGCAAAAGCTACCCTAAGCCATGAGCGGACATAGTTAGAAGTACAATTCAGTTCTCTGTTCCAATACTGAAAACCACTATTTAGTGTGGAGTAGCTGAGTGTACAGCCAAAAGTTCACACTGTAGCAAACAGGATAACTTCGCAAGGGGTTCCTTTGCAAAGTTTCTTTAATACAGAACACTCTAGTTGGAAAATCTCCAACACAAACTATTAAATCTTTCTGTGTAGGCCATATAACGAAGAAAGAACCTGCAGATGGTTACAAGCATGGCCTAGGCATTTAAGTAGAATTTGTTTTAAAAGCAGAGGTTGATGGTCCTCACATATAAAAGAATTTGAGACGGGATTTGGTATTATTACCAGTTTATCTTTATTTTCTTAAGGTGTGCAGATGTCATTATTGTTTTCTTGCATTAGTACATTTTTATCCCATCTGTCTTCCCAAAAGAGCCCAAGGCAGCAAACAAAACAGTAATAAAATAAAAATTAAAAACATTGACAATGTTTTTACAATTATATCTGCAAGATATTTTAAACCCTCAGTTAATAATAATAATAATGAGTTATATCATCAGTAGTATTTAATATATTTTTTGGTTAATTTTTACCAAGGTAACTCAATATATAAACAAACACATTAAAACTGGTATAAAAGAAAACCAAAGACAAATCTAAAAGAGAATCCTATTTTTAAAAGGCAGGATTAAAACATCCCATCCACTCAAGGAGGCTACAGGTGATAATTAAATACCTATACCACCCTTTATTTGAAAACCACAGGGCAGTTTACAATATAAAAATACAAACATACTATAACAAAAAAAATCCCACCCTACACACAATTTAAAAGGCCATAGATTGTTTAATTAGCCAAAGGCCTGGAAGAAGAGGAATGTTTTCACCTGACGCCTAAAGATGTATAACAAAGGCATCAGGCAAGCCACCCTGGGGAGAGCATTGCACAAATGGGGAGCCACCACAGAAAAGGCCCGTTCTCGTGTTGCCACCCTCCAGACTTCACAGAGGAGGCACATGAAGAAGGGCCTCAGATTATTATTGCAGGGTCTAGGTCAGTTAATATGCAGAGAGGTGGGCCTTGAGATTTTGCAGTCCTGAAGCATTTAAGGCTTTATAGGTCAAAACCAGCACTTTGAATTTGGCCCGGAAACTAATTGGTAGCCAGTGCAGTTGGGCCAGAGCCAAAGGCCTGGTGAAAAGAAATGCTTTTGCCTAGCACTTAAAGCTATGTATTAATGGCACCAGGCAAGCCTCCCAGAGAGAGCATTCCACAAGTGGATTACCACCACTGAACAGTCCTATTCTCATGTTGCCACCCTATGGAGTTCCTGAGGAGGGAGCACATGAGGAAGGGCCCAGATGATGATTGCAAGGTCCATGTTGGTTCTGAGGTCCAGCCTGGTTTTGGTGAGAGGTGGTCCTTGAGTCACATAAGGCTTTATAGGTTAAAAAGGCCCCCCAAACGTAAGTGGACACAATGGCCCCATGTTAAAAGTACAGATTTTATGTACTGTCTAGCATGCAAACATTTCATTATTTATTATTTAACACGGTTTATATATCGCTTAATCAACAAAAACCTCTTAAGCTGTTTACTTGAAGCAATACAAAAAATACCTAATACCAACAAACTCAGAACTTTAAAAGCAGGTAGATACATTTATCAAAATGTATCACTTCCACAGATCAAAATGGACACTTATGTGGTAAGGCAATCCTTCGTAAACTGGTCCCAAGCTGTTCAGTTCAAGGTAGCTCTCTAAGCAGGTGTGGAAGGGGGACTTAGTCCTGTCAGTAATTGGGCTGCAGCATTGTGCAGTAAATCTAGTTCCTGTCTACTACTACTGTGGTTAAGCTATCCCACAACTGGTGCAATTGTCATACGAGCCGAAGGCATTCCTAGCCACTAAGGCCAGCTGGGCCTCAACTGACAAGGCTGCATACCTGTTACTTCAGGGGAAATACAACTCCATCCAGGGCAAGCAGCTGGCCACTTTCTGAATAGCACCTTCATCCTGACAGGATTCAAGCCCACCCTGCACCCAGGCACTAGTCCAGGACCTACACAAGTTCTCTTGATTCAGATGTTATGGAGCTATAGAACTGAGTGTCATTAACATACTGATGGCTTACAGTGAAATCCTATGTGTGTCAACCCTGAAGCCCTATTTAAAGAAAATGGGATTTACTCCTAGGTTCAGTGTATGTGAGATTGCAGCCTTTCTTTGTTGTAGGCATCCATATAAATCAGAAATAAGAGATCTTCTGCCAGTCCACTGTGGACACAATGTCCAAACCTGAAGGGATTCCCATAGCATAGGAGGTAAAAGCTGTGTTTCTTCCTCCTGCCTTCATGATATGCTGACACTGCATCATGCTGTTATATTAAATGGGAAGCCTGTGCATACCCTCCATTTCGCTATTAAACCTGTTTTTACTTTTCAGTCAAAAGCATAGCATTGAGTGTCCATGCATGCCAGAGGGGCTGACTACCTATGCCCTATAAGTGTCAGTTCCTCTTGTTGACTTCATAAAGCACAAGTTCAAAATGAGTAGCATTAATAATACCTATGTTATCTGAACAGCAGCTAACCTTGTTAGGGAAACTCAAAGAATTCTAAAGAATAAACTACAACATCAGCCAAAACAATTGCACTTATAACTGATGACTAAAATCCTAGACTATATCTAGAGTGATGATACATGTATACGCTGCAACCAAAAGGGGAAATGTAAAGTAAGAATAGACTTTTGCACTAAGAATTATATTTAGCTGACCACAATGTAAAGGCAGTGCTGCCTTTGAATGACAGCGAGACTATTTCAGGTCACCTATGTATGTTATACCACAATACTTCTATTGTGTGCTTGTGTACCTTTAAAGACTAATACATGGATTTACTTGGAAGAAAGTTCCACAATTTATGAGCCTTTCTCCCAATCAAGTGGCATTTCTACACAAAACCCAGATGTATACTACAAGACTAGTGTGATCCAGTCACAACAACAGTAGCTGGTAGTAACAGTAATCTACAATAGGGCAAGAATAATAATAGTTAATAATTTGCTATTTCTACCCAACCCATCTGGCTGGGTTTCCCCAGCCACTCTGGGCAGCTTTCAACAAAACATTAAAAACAGAATAAAACTGAATAGATTTACTGAAATCCTAATTCAATAATTTCATACTAGAACTTCCCATTGAAGGAATTACTGAATTAAAACAGCACCCATGACATGAGTGTGCCCTAGCCACCCTAAGTATGTCCCCCCGGTAGCTGAACATTACTACTGTGTCCATTCTTTTTCAGAGAGCTTAACCTGTTTTGTAACTTGTGAGGAAAGCAAAAGGTCATTATTGGTAGATGATGTGGCATTTCACACTGGAAGGCAAGTCCCTGGTGGTATGACTAACGGATTTATTTTGCAAGACTGTTATCAGCCTTTCCACCATATGAAATATCTGAGCAGCATACAAATAGCTTAAAACAGTATACAATTAAAAAGTAAGTTAAGTAACAAAAAATGCCCAGCTCCTACATCAGTAGGGAACCTCAGACTGGGTGTGGGGGTCAACAAATGCAGCCCAGGCCTCTCTGTCGGTATCTCTTCCCCAAGCTACAGCCCTGCTTCACACACTCAAGTTTTTGGCTTGCTTGAATTTCTCCTTTAACTTTGATGTCTTGCTTGCCTGGATTGAGGATATAAAAGGGTTTATGTAGAAGAGAATGCGGGCTTCAAGCTGAAAAAGGTTCCCCACCCTGACCTTATATTAAGGGAGTGTGTGAGAATGCTACTACCCAAAACCTGTAATTTATACAGAATGAGCTCCCGATGTCAGAATCTTTTTAGCTGAAAGCTATAGGCGATTAATGGTGTTCTGTCACCTCTTCAGGACTGTTCTGTTGCAGGCAGCTCCTAGGTTCATCTGGCTTTGTCAGTCTGTTCCTTTATTTCATTGAAATTCATTTTCACTGAATTTCATTCAGCGTAGCTTTAAGAGTACTTGGGTGGGAGGAGTTCAAGTTTAAGGCCTTGTCCAGGAAAGAAAAATACATGCAGTTGGAGTGTAGAGATTGTATTGTAGCCCAACGGATCCTGTGGTGTACAGTGGTACCTCGGGTTACATATACTTCAGGTTACATACGCTTCAGGTTACATACACTTCAGGTTACAGACTCTGCTAACCCAGAAATAGTGCTTCAGGTTAAGAACTTTGCTTCAGGATAAGAACAGAAATCGTACTTCGACGGCACAGCAGCAGCAGGAGGCTTCAGGTTAAGAACAGACCTCCGGAACGAATTAAGTACTTAACCCGAGGTACCACTGTATTCTACTTGGTAAAGGAATGCAAATGAGATGTCCAAAAATTAAATCTCTTGTGTGAACTGCTGGGGAAATGAAAGCTACTGAAGTCCTTGTAAAATTTCTTAAAGGCCACCTCCTTGAGGATCCAAGAGTAAAGGAAAGACTGTCGAATACTATGAAGCCCTATGTTACCCAGGACAGGGCAGAAAACTTGGGAGGTACAAGATATCCCCTAAATTTGAAATAAGCACCAAAAACTTTTTGAAACACACTAACACATGTCCCTTTGGGGGAAAAGAGATGTGAAAATACTGAGTCTACAAATTGAACCCACCAACAGGGATTCAATTTAGTACTGTGACTGTTCTTGTAAATAATGTGGAAAACTCACTGTTGCTGTCACCAACAAAGTAATTTCCAGATTATGATTCCATTAATGGATAAGGATGCCTCTGAAGTCTATCTCCAGCTGGCTTTTGGGCCACAAGCCCAGGTACCAGCTGGGGGAGAAGCATTTCCTAATGGAAAGCAGACCCAGTGCATAGGATGGGCCCTCATCTTGTTCTGAAAATAACTGGAGATCAATGTTGTGTTGCGGGAAGTGGGGGATGTTTTCATTTGCCTCAGATCATGCTAGGTGTGGGTTTATCTAGTGCAACTCAGTGACATCCTGAGATGGGTGGAAACACTTCCTAATGGAGCATTATGCCACAGTATGCAATCCACACAATATATATTTAGCCCAATATTGATTCAGTAGACAATTCCATGAGCACAAAAAGCTCAAACCGTTTTGAGATTTAGAAAAAAATCTTAAAACCACCAGACTGTCACTGACAAAGCAGCAAAAGAAATGCCCTCTGGACATCCATCTCATTGCCTAGTACTAGAAAGCATGCCAGCTTTCCCAATCTAAGCAGGGAGCACATTTTCAAAACTAGCAACACAAATCTGAAAACAGTTGCATCTCACTGTGTATTTTGACTAGCCCTAATACAAAATGCAGAGAGAAAACATTAAACCATGTTTGCCTGCTGATATATTTGTACTTCTTGTTATAGCCTCGTTCATATTGTGTTTAATTGCATTTCAGTAATGAAGCTGGAAAAGAATAAAATCTATTGAGTTGGAGCACAACATTACCAACCACAGAAAAGTTAACATGCAGAGCCATTATGCTCTGTGCAAGTTGGAGAGTGTCAAGAGCTGAATTCTGGGAGGTAGGTGTATGTGTGAATCAGAGATGGAAAACCTTTTTCAAGAGCCACATTCCTTCATGGGCAACTTCTAGGGGCTACATGCAAGTGTGGACAGGGTGAACAGAAAAAGTGTGTGGGTCAAAGAAGCAGATATTCCAGCAACACAAGTCAGATTTCTACACATATGCATATTTTCATTCTTCACGCAGACAAGCAAGAGGCATGTTTAAGGACACATTCTAATCAGGCAGCTTAACATGTGGTCTGCGAAAGTGGGGCGTGACCTGGGAAGATTCCCAATAGAGGCCTGGAGGGCTGCATATGGCCCCATGACCTTACATTTCCCACCCTGGTATATACTGTATGCATTGTGTGATTTATTCTGCTTTTGCAAGTCTTGAGAAGGGACCAGGAATTATGCAGAGCAGAAGAATCCTGCCTCACCACTGGAACCTCTATCTAATCCTTTAAAATCACAATGCAAATTTCTTCAAGACACCAAATTCTGTACTCAATGCACAACTGTCAATTTGTTACTGTCCTAAAACCCTGGTCATTACTCACATACTTAAGCCTATCTTTCACAAGCATATTATCCTGACACTGTCTCTCAACCTAACCTATCCTTCACGGGGTTGCTATGAGAATAAAATAGGGAGGAGAACCATGTACACCACATTGAATTTCTTGGAGGAAATGTGAAATATAAATGTTAAAATAACAGACGGGCTGAGAGCATGGTCTTCAGAGATCTCATTCCGCCTTAACACCTTATATCAGAAGAAGTCACACCAAAAAGGAAAGCTGGGGATTTCCAATAATGTCTCCAGACTTCTAAAGAGCCCAGAACAAAGTAGCACCTATAAGCAGGGTATCACCACCACACTGTGCAAAAAGCAAGTCATTAGCACCAATGGCATCATGGTTCTCGAGATATACGCAAGAAGCATGTAAAGGACTGCCCAGTATAGTCATACCTCATGTTGTGTTACGTTCATATTGTCTTTTCGGCTTGCGAATGCAGCAAACCCTTCATTGTGCATGCATACACAGAAGCACTCTATCGCGCTATGTGCTTGTGCAGAAGCGCCGCTCTAGTTGCGGACTTCTCGGGTACGAACGGCACCCCAGAACTGATCGTGTTCACAAGTACAAGTACCACTGTATTGGACACTAGACCAATTTCCTCCAGCTTTACAACAGCAAACACTCTTCTATGTAAAATGGGTATTAAATAGTAAGAGGCAAACATGGTTGGCATGCTAAACGCCGTAACTCAGCTATACTTATTTTATATATAAAAAAAATCATACCCTACTTTCACATTGTTCAGCATCTACTGGTGAAACTATATACTGCCTAGATCTTTGGCAACCTTATTTAAGAACTGCATTCTATAGTACCTTACACTTCTAATTCATAAGTAGAAAAGGTTTCATATATTCGCTGCTCACTTTTTCTTCCAGTTCTCTCCAAATGGTTGTTACTGGCAAATGCTTGGTCCACTATCTCAGTTTCAGTTCTCCATCAGTAAAGTGGAGATTGTGAGCCTTTGTGGAGTTTAATGGATGGAACCAAGCCTCAGGGACAGGAGAGACTATACTTCCAACAACCCCCAATTACAAATACATCCCAATACTGTAGCAAAGCTTTTTATGCTCGGTTGATTGAATCACAAGCTTGCTAAATATAGCAGCCTGTCCTGTTAATCAAAGCTTTTAAAAAAACTATAAAGCCAATACAGCAATCCTATGCACAAAACATACCTAGAAGTATGTCCCATTAAACTGTTTGACTTTTTCTAATGATTTCCCCCCCTAACAGGACCAAGGTCAAGCAAGAAATAGTGTTAATGACTGCTTTTACTTTTTGTGGGACAATGATGCCCAACTATGATTACATTGACTGCTAGTGGCACATCAATCCACGAAGTTGTGAACTATGCAAGCCTGAAATTTAAGGCCAGAACAAATTGCATATAAAATTTCAATTCATTCTGCACAACTTAATCAAATTTCAGGAGGCAAGATAATGATGATTGCATCTAGAGGCAAAGAGGATAACATGGAGTTAGATGGGGAATATAATCAGGGAAGAATGGCCATAAGATAAGGAAGATAAGTATACCAACAATTAATGCTTCATCCCTCTGACATCAAGAAATCCTTTCCCATTTTCTTCAAGTTAGGAGTCTTAGAAAGAGCCACAAGGATTTGATATCTGTCTTTTAAAGTAAATAGTCAAGATACCACATGTCATCTTACACATCATTCCTATTATGTTTTGGGGTTTATCCTCCACATTTTAAAACAAGCAATATTTCACCCACTGAGCTTCATAATTAAATGATTCAAAGCTACAAAGTGCATTTTTCACCTATTTATTATACACAAGATGCAACCAAACAGCAATAGATTTCTACTGAGGTGGTTGACCACGTCCACGCCCAAAGCCACCTCTCTGTAAATCAAAAAAAGAAAAAGAAAACATTATCAGTGCACCCACAACTACAACACATTTCATTCACTGGCATGATTCATCACTGCCTCTTCTCACTGCTAAAAATAACAGAAGTTACCTGAATTCTAAGATAGGCAAAATGGGGGCCAAAGTGCAACAAAACATCATTTATATGAACAAGAAGGCCATTCAAAGGCACTTATCTATAAAGAAGGCCTGGAGAGCATGCAGGTGAAAAGCAGGCAAGCTGTAGCTCAGACACAAGTTCAATTATTCTAGTCAATGAGAGCCTAGGTCAAGTGTTATCAAAATTTCTACACCAAATTGGACAAGTGAATACACTGCATAGCAATGCATTTAAGCTATCAAGTAGTTGAAAAACACCAGCATTTATCTGGCAGGGCATGCATACTGCATAGGGATCAATTTGCCATAAATAAAATTGTGTTGGGTCAGGAAATAAAGAGTTTACAAGGTGCAACGTGACAATGTAAAAAACCAACAAATGAAAAACCTTGGGAGAAAGTTAGGTAGCTCAATATTAATCCCAGATTTACACTGGCAACATTTTGCTATCTTTTATTATTCATTAAATATGTTATTTGCAAAAATAGCAGCTGTCCCCATTGTCTAATCAAGCAACTCTAGCAAGAGAGATTCTCACATGGGAAGACACCTGCACTTACTGCCCATGAATATTTGGCTCCCCATTTCTATCTGCATTGGTGACCCCAAACTAGCCAGATGCATTTTTCAATGGAATGGGGACATGTGCCTGCTTCTGGGTTATTATGTGGGACTAGCTGCCCATGACTACAGTTTGCCTGGAGTCTGTGCTGCCTAATCATCATCACCCTATGCTGTTTTAGAATTCATATTGGACTCAGAAGATAGCTTTATTAGCATGTGCCATCCATATTATTACCCCAGCAATATAAACAGAAGCCTGAAATACATGTAATTGTGCCTGCAATACTGTTGCCAACTCAACAAGGAAGATATGAAAGTGTCTGATTTTGGTCAGAGGCGCTTACATGTTAATCCTTTGCATAAAATTAAATATTCTATATATACTTACAAACTGAAATTCAGTAGCTGACCCAGCTCCAGCCTCTGCCTTCTTGTCAGCACCAGCTGAGAAGAAAAAACACTCCACGTTATTCAAGACAAGGAGTACCACGTAGAGAGGTATCTATAATCTTTGAAAGCATTTTTAAAGCACCAGAATGCTAACAGTCATGATATTATTTAGGCATACGTTACTTATGCAAGTTGATTGCATAAATACAATATTCCTGCCCTACAAATGCTCTTGCCCTGGCAGCATCCCTTTCCTACTCTGGGAAGCTTGACAAGCCCAGCCAACCTTCCCACCAGTTTAGAATATAAGCAGAGGGGAATTGCACCATTATGTCACACTTCACTTTTTATCTTAGCGCAACTCCAAAGCACAACTGGAGGGATTATCGCAAAAGCCCAGGATTAGGGCTGTGTTGCTCATGCGCTCATATTCAGAGACTGTCCAACTCCCAATAGGGGAAGGTTCCTAGGTACCAGCAACCACGTTTTGGCTGGTTCCCAAGGCTAGCCAATACGTGCCGTATTTCCTCCAAACTTCAATACTATCTCATTTTAAATAAATGAAAAGCTAGGTAAATGTACAAGAAAACAATGGCAGAGACCAGTTAACCTCTTGTTTTAAACACTTACGAGGAGCAGCACTGCGTCTGTAGGTGTCCCTGTCAGCCTCTCCCCGTGTAAGGCGAGCAGGACGCTCACCCTCCAAACCTGAAAAGGCAAAAACAGGACAAATCAATCAAGAAGCTTTCAGCTTAACAGTCATAGGGTTTTAAGCTGTTCTTCAAAAACGTATATATTATTTAAAATTAAGTCAGTAGTATTTATTAACCACATTGTGTACCAGTGTGTTGATAGAACATTTTTATTACAAGGTAAAGGACTTCAAAAATGCCAAATACATTTCTCCCTTGAAAAGTGCTATTTTTCTAACAGTTCAGCTGAAAGCTAAACCATTTGGACCACTCTTAACCATTTTGGGGAAAAAATCGTCTTTCAGTTCAATGGAGGTCTATGCTTCAAACTACCAAAACATGCAACTCACCAAGTAGACTTGAGCAACACAATTTGGCAACTCAATGCACTACTTTAAGGCTACAACTGAGAATGAAATGAGATGTACTAGAAAGAAGGTGGATAAAAACAGAACAATCACCTTCACTATGATCTAAGCATTTGAGGAATGAGCAACCGTCACTGCCTTCAACCCGTGGGCCTGAATTCCTGGTAGCGTTGAATGCTAAACTTACAGTGAATTCTCTATTGGCAAGGTAAGTTGATACACACAAAGCCACTTGTCATAAAGCAGGCAGTACATGGCTGTTGTATCCCAAGCAGCTGCCTCCCTTGTACATTTAAAACCAGACTAGATTTTCATCTATTGGGTATCGGTCATGATCAAAATTCTGTACATGGTTGGGCTTACAGCTGGATGAACCTGAAAACAGATCCAAGAGACCTATGCTATTGTGACAGACGAATCTATAGCAGCAACACTCCGCTAATAACTGAATGCACTATCAAATATGTAAGAATCACCTAATCAAGTAAAGTCGTACCTTGGATCCTGAACGCCTTGGTACTTAAGACGTTTTGGCTCCCAAGCGCCGCAAACCCAGGAGTGTTCGGTTTGCAAACATTCTTTGGAACCCAAACGTTAAACAGGGCTTCCGCAGCTTCTGATTGGCTGCAGGAGCTTCCTGCAGCCAATCAGAAGCTGCACTTTGGTTTCTGAACATTTTGGAAGTCAAACAGACTTCTGGAACAGATTCTGTTCGACTTCCAAGGTATGACTGTATACAACTGCCTGTAAGCTTATTCAATATGTCAACATGAGAGTGCAAAGCATGTGTAAAAACCATAGGAAATAAATTCAAACAGAACTCTGCTGAATGTGTCACAGTTCAAAACTGTACATGGCCTTGATGTGGCAAGTTTAAATTATTTTCTCTTCAAGGCAAAACAAAAGTTAGCAGTCTGACCAGTATCATTCTTATGACCGTGCTTATATGACCAAAGATACAATGTCTCCAATAGATTCACACCTACAAGGATAATGAAACACCTCCATTTCCAGCCCTGAAATATATTTGGCAAAGTCAGGCTTCTTAACACTGTGCTCCCTTAATTTAGCTCCAATAAAATATAGCTGTCTTGGATGTAGAAATGAATAGTGGTAAGGAGCCTTAGTTAGCAAAATACAAATGAATGCAATAAACTGTTCCGTTCCTGCATTGCAGGGGATTGGATTAGATGGCCTTTGGGGTCCCTTCCAACTCAACAATGCTGATTCCTAAAGTCAATGGCCTAGTAATTTGTACAAGTTGAACTCATAGTACCTGCAACCTATCAGACACTTGTCCTTCCGTAAGGGTGCATTCACATAGTTGAAGGCACATCCCAGCAGAAATACTTAAATGTTTGTGTCCTAGTCTTCAGATCTAGAGGACTTTGTGAGAATCACGTTCACAAATCCAAGTGCTTTTGCCAAAATGCTTCATCCAAGGAAAGCAATTCTGGACGCTATGTCAACAGCAAATCCAAGCAAGTAATGTAAATTAAAGCTTACCTTTTGGCCGGGGTCGCCCAGTTTCAGGACGACTGCGACGCAAGGTGGCAGGCACAATTTCAGGCGGCAGATGGAGATAGTCCCTCAAGTACTGGATGCCCTCATTGGTCAAATACCAGTAGAAATGCCTCCATGCAAACTGCTCCTTCACATAACCACGAGATTTCAGCGACTAAGAAGATATAAGTCTAGTTATAATTATCGTTAATACTTATTTGTTCACAGCAATTCTTAATAACGTTAATTAACACTAACAACTTTCTACATCTTGAACTCTACATGCAAACATTAGTGGCAAAGGCCAGAGGAAGCTCATCGTTAGGGATGGGGAGAGGGGAACGAATCATCGCCAGTTTTAAAAGATGGATTATGTTGTATAATGAGATTGCAGATGTTTATGTAAGTGTTCTGTAAAATATGGCAAGTATTTGGTATTCCCTTTCTTCCTACCACTATGTTAATAAAACTCTTAGGCACCTTTAGGGTTCCCTACCTTACTAGCCTAGCTTTCAACCTTTTCAGATCCAGAACTCACTTTTAATTCCAATTGGCAACACAGGACCCAATTTAAAATTATTTACTGCAAAGATCTTTCAGGGAGGTGAAAGTTGCACTTCCTGCACTCACTTCTTCTATGCAACTATTAGAAGCACAGAAGCCTTGACCTGGAATGGTTAGAGTTATTTTTTTAAAGATGAACAACATTCAGAAAATGTTGGCTATGCTACCACTGGTGCAACTCACTTAACGTCAGGGTGCAACATACCAGTTGAAAGCCAGTGCCTTACCTGCATTGCTTTCATGACATGGAGGTTGGGCACATTTTTGTCTGCCAGTTCTGGGTGTTTAGGCATATGAACATCTTTCTTAGCTACCATCACTCCCTCCTTAAAAAGGAGTTCGTAGATGGCAATGCGGTTTTTTTTAGGCATCAACATCTGTAGGAAAATATAGATTCAATTTTAAAGAGCCGCCCCTTTTTTAGTTCAAAGTTCACACACACACACACAGACACGTTCTCAAGAAAATGGTACAAAGTAACCCAGCACATTATTTTACTGCTCTGTTGGAAGCTGAAGAGTATGAAAGAAAAGGTGCATATTAAGCTTGCATTAAAATGTTGTATACCTCAATTTTAAGCAATGCTAGACAAGACCTGCCTTATACCAAATCAGACTTTGTCCATTTAGCCCTGTAGCATCATCTCTTAAGTGTCTCAGGAAGTAACCCTACTCATCAGAAAGTATTCTCTCTATTCATCATCTACCACCCGATTCTTTAAAATATTGATATGAATTGAACATGGGACCCTTTGCACTGACTTTCTCTGGCAACATCCGTGCAGAATACTCAGAAAAGCAAGTTTCATATAAACAACCGGTGCTCAATGCAGCCTCCACTAACCATTACAGCAAGCATCAAGTTTGACGATAGTGAGAACTTTTGACTTGAAAGCTGTAATCTTAGATACTGTACACTTATTTACCCCATTCAACTCAATGTGACTTTCTGCCAAATAACTATGCATATAGTATCAGGCTATTAAGATAGTTTCAAATAAAAGCTTCCCTAGCAAAGCCCCCATTTTTATCATTAGCCTAGCTGTCTTCATTTAAAGCCCTAAAACGACCTCTCACCACTCCCTGCTTTGCTTCTTTGCAGAACACGTTCACGGACACACAACTTCAATTTTACGATCGACTTATTATATACCATGCACGTGCTCCTCGAGGGAGACGGGCGCGAGGGCTAAGCTAGTGTTAAGTCTCCCAAGCCCACACGCACTCCTACTTCAACTCTAGAGGAGCCGCGGCCTGGCTTAACAAACTGCCGCCTTCCAGCCGGGCACCCAATCCCCGCCCCGCATCCATGCCCCGTTTTCCATCTCCGACTCCCCTCCGGCCAAAACGAGCCGGGCAGGGAGGAAGAGCAAGGCGCCCAGGCGTAGCAAAGTGAGGAGCCGGGCCGACCAGGCGCAGGATGGAAGCGATGCGAGGAAGATGGGGCGGCCAGAGCGAGGCCTTACCGTGGCGGCGGCAAGAGGCTCGAACGCTGGAAAGGAAGGAGCATGCGCAGTGCGAGCACTTCCTCTCTCAGAAGGACCCTTGCGTTTAAAGAGGTGGCTACTGCGCTGCCCGAGAGTTCTGTTCTCTATGTCCCTGCTCAACTATTGTGGACCCGGAAATAGGGAAAGCGTCTGATTAGAAATACTAGTCTAATCGCTACTCAGGGAAGCTGTAATTATAGCTGTCTCTGATGTATGTTACTTTATTTTCTTGTGAAAGTTCTTTTTTTAAAAAAACCATAAATATACAATGAAGACCCAAAACTGTAATAAGTAATGATGTCTCTAATTAACCTTTTGTGTACACTTCTTTATTTCATACATTACCAAGCAAAATACGGCTAAGCCTAGCATTTGCTGCATTAAAGCAGTCTTGGGAGTAAGGAAGTACTGGGGCTTGAATCAATTTTGTGCTTAGAATCTGGGTGCTGCTGAGGCCTTTTCTATATTGATATATTCGTGCGGCAAATTAATTACAACATTGCATTCATACACTGACGTCTTCCAGTTGGGCTCCTGCAGTTGCACTCTTGCGAGGGGCTGCCTTTCAAAACCGATCAGAAACTCGTAACTGGCACAAGATTAACCCTCCACCCTCCCATTCCTGACGGGTGCCAGGTGGTCAAAGCATGCTACACCTATACTGGTTGCCAGCCTGTTTCCAGGCCCAATTCAAAGTTCTGGATGTGTCCTTTAAAGCCCCTAGCAATTTGATTTAGCTAAAAGACCACCTACACCAGAGGTGGAGGCCCTCAGGACACCTTTGCCTCTGACCCCAACAACACCACTGGTATGTGGCCCTTGGGAATTGAGTGTGGCCCTCAGAAATAACCGGTAAGTTTCTCACCACTGGCCTAGGATTGCCGTATTTCAAAAAGTGAAAATCCAGACACAAGAGAGGGAAAGAGAAGTTTTTGAGCTATTTTTAAGTAAATTCGCCAAAATCTACACTTCCTACATGGGTTGCCATACGCCTGTATTTTCCCAGACATTTAAGTGTTTTCCGCCCAGGCACTGTTTCCGACGGCTGAATCCCGGCAATGTCTGGGAAATTCCAGACATATGGCAACCCTAGATTATCATCATCATCATTAAATGTCATTTAATAATGCCAGGCTACCTGTACCTCAAAATCTACATCAGAGAGTCTGCTCAGAAGCCTTATCCCTTATATCCTGTCAGTGAGCTTTGAAGACCTACTTTTCCCATGGCGCTCTTGATGGGCTAAACTGAGTGGCTTTGGGAGCAAGGGTGGGGTGTCAATTTATTAAATAAATAAAATAAATAAAACGGGGGTCATAAATGGCTGCTAGGCTGAAGCCATCTGAATTTTTATTGCTACAGTTTCATTGTTTGGCAATGGATTTTAGGGTTAGTCATATTTTAAATGGTTTTTTATTGTGTTTGGCTTTGTATTTGCATTTATGTTATGAGATGCTTTTTGAAGCATGTGCTTAAAAAGTGGGCTATAAATCGTTTAAATAAAGAAGTAATGTAAGGGTTGCTGTGCTATATTACACAAGGAAAAAATGCAGGATGCAGGGCATGCAGAAAATTGGGCTGCGCAAGTAAACACAGAATGCAACAAAAAATTGTCTTCAAGGGGGTTTATGCAGCGTCTATGCCTGTACAGCTGCATGAGACCCTGCATCCCTACAAGGGTCAACGTTCTTACATTCCAGGTTCCTATGCAATATTTTTCTTTACAGCACTGGACTTTCCTTTCGCTTCCAGGCATATCTGCAACTGAGCGTCCTTTCGGCTTTGGCCCAGCCACTTCATCAGCTCTGAATCTACTTGTACTTGTCCTCCGCTCTTCCTCAGTAGCATGTTGGACGCCTTCCAACCTGAGGGGCTCATCTTCCAGCGTCATAACTTTTATATGCCTGTTGTTTTCTTGGCAGGGATACTGGAGTGGCTTGCTGGTTCCTGCTCCAGGTGGATCACGTTTGGTCAAAACTCTCCACTATGACCTGTCCATCTCGGGTGGCCCTGCACGTCATAGCTCAAAGCTTCTCTGAGTTATTCAAGCCCCTTCACCACGGCAAGGCAGTGATCCATGAAGGGGTAGCTGTGTGCAATGAAGAACAGATAAGGTAGCTGTGTGCAATGAAGAACAGGTTTCCCACCTACAGCCGGTAACCAGTTGACCTTGACTCTCTTTACTCCCTTCAAAATATTTGACTTCCTAACTGAGTTCTTATGGAGATGCCCTGGTGAAACTGTTTGGTGTGAGTGTTCAAATACAGTTACCAAGGAAATAAATATGTGTGAAAATGTTTTTCTATGTGTAAAGATTAAACAAAAGTTGCTTTTCTCCCTCTGGGGTATGGGAAACTTTCATAAACTATGGTCCTGCCCACAGAAGACCAGAAGGGGGCAGTGTAATTATTAAAATAAACTAGGTTCCTGAAATTTTCACCAAGGCGGGCCTTAAATGATTCTTAGAAAGTGATGTAGAAACAAAATACAGTATCCTCCCTCTTTCTACTGGTCCACTCTCACACTTGTGTCATGCGTCACAGAGCTAAAATAGTCACTGAGTACTTCTTTTTTTCTCATTGTTATTAAGAAATGCAATGGATAAAAATGCAGTGGTACCTCGGGTTAAGTACTTAATTCGTTCCGGAAGTCCGTTCTTAACCTGAAACTGTTATTAACCTGAGGCACCACTTTAGCTAATGGGGCCTCCTGCTGCCACCGCACCGCCAGAGCACAATTTCTGTTCTCATCCTGAAGCAAAGTTCTTAACCTGAGGTATTATTTCTGGGTTAGCGGAGTCTGTAACCTGAAGCGTCTGTAACCCGAGGTACCACTGTACAGATGTTTACTGCAAATAGAACAAGCTAAGGAAGGGAAATTGGTGCAGGGTCCTGATCTAGTTCAGGCACACATTCTGGATCAGGGCCCGCTGACTGCTTTTTCTTCAAAATAAAAGTGACTGGTTTAAAAGCATGCTTTTAAAAAAGTGTGAATCATCTTGGTTTCAAAGAATATCACAGAGTATTTTCTTTTTGGCCCATGCAGCTGTGCTGTGGGATGCCACAGGACGCCATCCTTTCCTCAATGTTATGTAACATGTATATGAAATCATTGGGCGCTGTCATTAGAAGATTTTGTGCAAGGTGTCATCAGTATGATGATGATGATATCCAGATTTATTTCTGTGTAACACTTGAATTAGGAGAAGCCATTCAAGCCGTAGGCCAGTGGCTGAATGAGGGCCAACAAACTGATTCTGAATTCTGGCAAACCACAGGTATTGTGGGTGAGCAGTACCCAAGTCTGGATAATTGGTCAATCACTTGCTTTGGAAGGGCGTCATACTCCCTCTGAAAGAGGAGGTTCATAGTTTAGGGATGCTAATTGATCCATCCCTGTTACTAGAGGCCTAGGTGAGCCCAGTAACTAGGAGTGCCTTCTACCAGCTTTGATTGCGAACATCTCCAAATCTTCTGGTTGGCCCAAAAGATGTAAAGGTAAAAGGTAAAGGGACCCCTGACCATTAGAGGTCCAGCCATGGCTGACTCTGGGGTTGCGGCGCTCATCTCGCTTTATTGGCCAAGGGAGCCGGTGTACAGGTCATGTGGCCAGCAAGGCTAAGCCGCTTCTGGCGAACCAGAGCAGCACACGTAAATGCTGTTTACCTTCCCGACATGCTTTCGAACTGCTAGGTTGGCAGAAGCAGGGACCGAGCAACAGGAGCTCACCCCGTCGTGGGGATTTGAACCGCCGACCTTCTGATCAGCAAGTCCTAGGCTCTGTGGTTTAACCCACAGCGCCACCCGCGTCCCAGAAGATGTAGCCAGTGTCAAATGCAATGGCTTGACTGTTGGCACAGAATATCACAATCATGTAATTCTATTGTTAAAATAATTGCTCTGGCTGCCAGTGAGCTGCCAGGCTAAGTTCAAGGTACTAGTGCTAATGTAAAAAGCCTTCACAGCTCAGGAGTAGGCTGCCTAAAAGCCTGTATCACCTTTCTATATCAAAGAGGTGCTCCTGCAGATGCCATCCGAGCAATAGGTCTGCCCCGTACAATGTAGAAATCAGACTTTTAGTGTAGCAGCACCTGCCATTTGGAACTTCCTCCCATGGAATATTAGACAGGCACCATCTCTATTAGCGTTTTGGTGACTGTTTAACACCTTCCTCTTCCAACAAGCATTCTTAAGTGGACATTTTTATCCCAGTCTTTATCTGCATCAGACTAGAAATTGTAATTTACATGTTTTTGTTGTTAATTGCTTCAGGTTGCTTCACCAGAGGCATTTCATGAATGGAATGAAATGAAATAAATAATATGGTCCTAAGGGTGGGAGTTATCAGAGTCTACCTAAAGCACCCTTCAGTTGGAGGATGGCATTCATAGAGCTGTATCTTCACAAGAGCCCTTCCAAGCCTTGAAAACATTATTCATTATAGTTTTGCACATATAAGCCAATCTTCTTCCACATACCAGCACCTCTGCACTCTTTCGAAAACTGTGCCTGCTCATTTCTGTCTGTTGTGTAGCTCTTAAGAGCGATAGACCTGTGTTGGGGGGAGGTAGCAACCCTAGGGACACGGGGGGGGCGCTGTGGGTTAAACCACAGAGCCTAGGACTTGCCGATCAGAAGGTCGGCTGTTCGAATCCCCGTGATGGGGTGAGCTCCCATTGCTCGGTCCCTGCTCCTGCCAACCTAGCAGTTCGAAAGCACGTCAAAGTGCAAGTAGATAAATAGGTACTGCTCCAGCGGGAAGGTAAATGGCGTTTCCGTGCACTGCTCTGGTTCGTCAGAAGCGGCTTAGTCATGCTGGCCACATGAACTGGAAGCTGTACACCAGCTCCCTCGGCCAATAAAGCGAGATGAGCGCCGCAACCCCAGAGTTGGTCACGACTGGACCTAACGGTCAGGGGTCCCTTTACCTTTACTTAGCAACCCTAGATATTAAATAGAAGCCACTGAACCTTTCAGATTAAGTGATATAGTCTTTGGCTTCCACTCCTCAACCTTTCCAGGAGAACAGGGAAACCAGCAGATTTTCTTGCTGATCAAATCAAGCATCATGTGGCTCCACCTGACATCCAACTCAGCCTTCTGATTGGACAAAAAAGCCCACTTTCCCCAAATAATCCCGAGAAGTCTGTTAAGGGTGGTGGGAGCTGTCGTTCTGTGAGGGGTACATTTCCCAGGATTCTCTGGGGGAAGTCATGTGCTTTAAATGTGCATTGAATGTGCTTTAAATGTATGGTGTGGGTCTGCTTAAAAGTTACTCTTCGTAACTTAAAAGTTACTCTTCGTAACTTAAAAGTTACTCTTCTGGGGGACACCTGGCTTGAGAGCAGTACATGTGAAAAGGATCTAGGAGTCTTGGTTGACCACAAACTTGACATGAGCCAACAGTGTGACGCGGCAGCTAAAAAAGCCAATGCAATTCTGGGCTGCATCAATAGGAGTATAGCATCTAGATCAAGGGAAGTAATAGTGCCACTGTATTCTGCTCTGGTCAGACCTCACCTGGAGTACTGTGTCCAGTTCTGGGCACCACAGTTCAAGAAGGACACTGACAAACTGGAACGTGTCCAGAGGAGGGCAACCAAAATGGTCAAAGGCCTGGAAACAATGCCTTATGAGGAACGGCTAAGGGAGCTGGGCATGTTTAGCCTGGAGAAGAGGAGGTTAAGGGGTGATATGATAGCCATGTTCAAATATATAAAAGGATGTCACATAGAGGAGGGAGAAAGGTTGTTTTCTGCTGCTCCAGAGAAGCGGACACGGAGCAATGGATCCAAACTACAAGAAAGAAGATTCCACCTAAACATTAGGAAGAACTTCCTGACAGTAAGAGCTGTTCAACAGTGGAATTTGCTGCCAATGAGTGTGGTGGAGTCTCCTTCTTTGGAGGTCTTTAAGCAGAGGCTTGACAACCATATGTCAGGAGTGCTCTGATGGTGTTTCCTGCTTGGCAGGGGGTTGGACTCGATGGCCCTTGTGGTCTCTTCCAACTCTATGATTCTATGATTCTATGTGTTCCTTCCCTTTTAAAAGCAACTCCTTCTAAAAGTCTGAGTCAGAGCAGTGGAGAGATGGAGCTCCTCTACACCAGCCTAGTTTCATCACAGCCATGTACCAGTTTAACATATCACATTGCATCTATGCCACCAATCAGGGACTGTGTAAAGGAGAATGAATAATACAGGAGAAGGGTAGCAGTCAGCTTTGGCTGAGTAGACAGTGAGAGAGAGGTTCCCCAGAGGACTGTCAATGCTGTCCCAGCTCAAATAACTATGCTCTTGTTTCTGGTGCGTATGTAAACCAACCAACACAGAGCCACTTACTAGATGCAAGGTCTGAAGGAAAGGGTGTCTGTAACATCTCAAATCAATGCCAGAGGGCAGGTGTGAGAATCCCAACCCCCATTTATATACTCCATGCTAATGTAAAAGGAAGAAATTAACATCACAGACTAAGGCTGCATACCGCATTTAGATCTGTGTCCTGTTTTGTGCTCCTTCTTTTACTTTTCCTTGTTTCATATATTCACCTACACCCATCTAGAATTATTACAGTGTTGGCGGAAATGACTGGCAGAATCCGAGACCAGGGAGAAGAGTCGGTGGAAGAAGATTGGAAGAAATTAAAAGACTATTTACAGAAATATTGTAAAATTAATGAATGTTAGAATGATGTTAGAATGAAGCTAGGTGGTTTAAGCTGTAATGTTATAAAGGTGTAGGTAAAAAAGGACTGATAACAGATGAAAATTTAAAGTTATAGTATATTAAGCTAAAGAATTATGAGAAAACAAAGAGGGAAAGAAATTGCTGACTTAACTAATTGAACTGGAATACAAAAAAGGGAGTTATGAGGAGGTCAGGGAAACAAGGATATGAATGTAAGTTATGGAAAGATTGATCCATTTTCCTTTTTCTTTTTTCTTTTTCTTTTTAAGTGTCTTTTACTCTTTTTCTGTATTTTGTATTTCCTATTTTTTTGTATTTTTACTTTTTGTTTTTGTGTAATTCTTGTATTTTTTGAAATGTTAATAAATATCATTTTTTAAAAAATATAGAATTATTACAGTGAATCCTTCCTCCTCCTCTTTTGCTTCCTCTGGATAAAATGCATGTGGTGTTGCCATACATGTACATCCCCCTTTCCCTGCAAATATGTTCACCTTTGCAAGGATCTTCATTATCCAATGGATAATCGCGTATAGGGAACTGGATCCAACTGGTGGGCAAAATCCTTATCCCCACCCCCACCTAGCCACACAAGCCAAGGTTGACGAGTGGGTAGTGTTACACACCTGTCATTGTGATGTCAGGTGACCCAATTCTGCCTGGATGGATGATCAGCTGATAGTTGGGTCTTGCATGATAGCTCTATGTGCTGCCCTTTTCAGACCCCACCAATCAGCTGATGCAAGGGCTTTGCTGGTGCTTCTGAGCATAGGAATACAGTAAACTGCTTTATTCTGAGTCACACTATTCATCCATCTAGCTCAGGATAGCCTACACAGAGCTGGCAGCAGAGATTTTAAACACGGGTCTCTCCCAGCCCTACCTGGGCATGCCAGGAATTGAACCTGGGGTCTCCTGCATGCAAATTATATACTTTACCATTGAGCTATGGTTCCTTCCCAAATTCCCAGACTACTTTAGAAATGCACATTTAGGGCATGTCCCAGCATTGTGTTGTGTGGATAAGCAGCGCTCTGAGTCAGAAGTAGTCACTCACAAGCATGCCCAAGGCCAGTCCCTAAGCCAACTGTTGCAAGTTCAGACATATATGAAGCTACTGTAATGCCTCACATAGTGGTGGTACCTCTAAACTTCCACAGTGGGGAGTATTCTCTAGGGCTTCCACTGGCTATGCAGTTACTGAAGGAATTTAGAACCGCCATCATTATTCCGTCTGCTTTTACTCTTGCTGTCTGAGCTGATCCTGCCAGGCCATCTGGACTAAGAGCAATCAGCACAGGAGCTGGAACCTTCAATGTGGGTTGTCTGACTCGTAATCTGATTCAGAATGCTGATCCCTGCAAAATGCTATATATAGAAGCGACCATTTTTTGAGGTACTTCCAGTTGCGCTTCCTGATTCAGCACTATCATTACTGCTGGGAGCCACATCTGCAAGTGCCCTTACTTTGCCTCAGGGAACTTCCAGATTGTCTCTATTTTGGGGTGGCATTCAATCGCATACTGCCAAATTCAGATTGTGCAATTTGGGTTAATTTTGGTTTTCTTGTGCAACAAACCTTCTTCCCCCACCCCCACCCCCACCTCCAAAGTGACAGGAAAATGCACTGGGAAGTGCAGGATTAGGATAGCAAATGCTTCATGCACTATTGCATAACCTCCTTGCAAACAAATCAGAATAAATGCTTTAACTAAATAGCCAGCATCATTCAACCTCCCCATAAACAAATAGATTGAGGAGGAAGACACAACAAAGAGATTGTCTGGAAGTGACCTTTGAGGCAAGAACACAGGTAGGGTGGGTTGGATTCCAGGACACCCCACAGAGTTCATTTTCTGCCCCAAATTGTTTTGGAGGAGATGACTTCTGTCTGCACACAAGGCCCTTGGGTAGACAGAACCCCACTGCTTTCAGCCTAGACAGGAACTGCTCAAGCGTCATGTCAAAAGGAGAGGCAGCTGTGGAGAGGCAGGTGCCATTTGTCTTTAATGGCAAATGAGCCAGCCGCTCTCATGCAGAAAGGCTGCAGTAATGTGGATGTCATGGCAAGACATTCCTGCAGAGTAGGCAGGTCATTTCCATCAAGGTCAGAAGCTATATCTTGACAAGTTAAGTACGGTAAGTTTGTTCCCGTTTGGAACTTAGTTGGGTGACTGTAAAGAGTGCAGGAAATGTTATAGAGCAAACCTCCTTTCTACCTTTGATTAAGTCAGGATCAAGTCTCCTCAACTCCCACCTAGTCAATGCTTTGACTTGCCTCAGGAAATATCAGGCTGTCATTTGATTTGGTTTGGTGTGGTGGTTTTTGCAATTTAACCATTTTCTCATGACAAAAGCGAACAAAGTCAGAAGCAAACATTTTTGAGGTGATGTGAACCTTTCCAGGGGGCAGCTGCCCTCCTCCAAATCAAGTAAATAATACTTAACAATCTGACCAATTGCATCGCAGAAAGCTCGCTTCTGCCCCCTCCTATAAATCTTGGGCCCCATAACATATGCCCATGTTTGGGGCAGTAAGTAAATGTTAACATTATGCCATAGCATTGTTTAGAAGAAAAGCTGTTTCTTCAGTCCATTTGTCCTGGATTCAGGAAATCATCTTTCCTTCATTTGGAAGTTACACGTTTTTGTTGTTTCAGTTACATAACAAATTCCTTTGGCTGCAGTGCAATTATTCCACATCTACAGCAGCAGCAGTATGCATGAGAAGAAAATATTGGCCAGTCAAAGCCCGAGACATATTCCCTGGAGTTCAGGACTATTCTGGGCTGACTGTGTCAAGCAAGAAAGAAAAACTGCAGACGGAAATGTTGATGGGGTGGGGGATATGTACAGGAGCAGTGTCACACTACCTTTCTTACGTTCCACTGCAGACCATAAAGCATCACTGCTTTGTGATTTTTAGTTTGTCCTAATAAAAGCACTATGATACCTTTCCAGTTTGGATTGTATCAAGTGTAACGCATCGCCACAAGAGGGCAAACTAGTGGCCTGATTCTCTCACAGCAGGTTTTCGTCAATGGAGTTCAGTTTCTTTTGTTTAATAATTACAACGTTCTTTTCTAAAAGCCTATACTACAGAATCCATCTTTGCATCTACTGCTACCCAGATTCCTAACCTTACTTTAAGGTTATTTTTATACAAGCTGTTTCAGTATAATGCACATGGGCAAAACATGGTTCATTTTTTTTTAAAGGAAACAAACAGAGCCACAATGCCTGCTTCCAGACATAGCCCCAGTCATTGCTCTTCAGCTGTAAGCTACAAGCACAATTGCAACTGGCTATCCACATTATCTAGAGCAGTTCTGGGGAAGCTGTGTTCCTCCAGGTGTTGTTGGACTCCGAACTCCTGTCAGCCCCAGCAAGCATAGCCAATGGCCAGGGATGATGGGAATTGGAGTTCAGCAACAGCTGGAGGGCCACATCTTCCCTATCATGCCTCTTTTGTGTGTACATCCTGCTGTCTTCTGTCCATACCAGTGGGTGTGACATAGATGCTTTGATTGGTAGCTCTTTGAAGCTCAGCACACATTCACTATAACTGTCTTGTTGGGTACCATTTTATGACCCCATTCATTTTTTAAAATAAATTGTTTAATCATTAGTTAAACAGTTTCCCAGCTACTCCCCCCCCCCCAATTGTGATAATATTCCTTTCAGCCCACACAGGGACTAAATATGTGATTGGCATCAGGTCTGCTTTAGCTCTGAGAATCTGGTGGTGATGGTGGGAACTGCTGAAGTAACAAGGAAGCAAGAATGAGAAAGGGGAGAAAGGAGAAAGAGTAGAGGGAAGTAGAAGGGGAAATGGGAGGTGAAAGAAAGGGACAAATTTGCAAAAGGCTAGATAAAAAGGCAAATATAAGGGGGGCGGGAATGGGAAATAGGGGGATCCCAGGAAAGGGAGAGCACTTACACCCCCTGATCTTATTTTTTGCTTTCTCTGCAGTAATGTTTTCACCTTGTGCTGTCAGCGAGTCATTACTCACAGCCTGGCCACCGATTGGCTGGCTAAAAATGCCTCTCTAATCTCTGGGCTGATCTTTACCCCCCTCCTCCCCATCTGCTGTGACCTTCCTTCCAATGTGTACAGGCAGAGAAAGAAAGGGAAGAATCCAGTATAGTTCCTTTGCCAGGCAAACTGGCATCCTAAACTGAAAGTGAGCCAGGCAGGCCAGACTGTTATCAACCTGACGGGCACTGGGACCTCACTTATCTGGCAGCATCTGATGGTCTCTACAACCACTCCAGAAAGGTAGGCCATGAGGGATTCTCCCGTCCCTTAAGAGCATCTTTATTGTGTCATCTGGGGGGTTGTACTCACATTACAGCAGGCTGTTCCATCAGCCAGGTGGTCCACGGCATCAGTCTACATTTGTTGGGATGGAGCCAGCCTTGGCAGGGTTGTACGTCGCTTTTAGTATGCCGGCAGCCAATCTGCTACGCTGATCTAAAGGTGCGGGTGTTAGGCCTATAATGTTCCCATGAGACAAACTGGCATCAGGTGACTGTTGAGAACCGTAGAACAGCATAAGGTCCTGTTTCTAATTGCTGTGCTGCCGTCATTCCATTCATGCTCACAAAAGACACAGACACTCATGAGGCATTCTCACAAGGGGTAGCACCACGTCGTGTAAGGATCCACCTTTGGTTATGGCAGGGTTTTTGTTTTGGGTGATTTCCACCTCCAAGCAGTTCAAATTACCCTCAATGGCTCTTATTTCACCACTTCAGTTCAATAGCTCCCTCCCAGCATAAGCAAAGCCCAGAGGATTCATTAGATGCTATCCAGGTAGACAGAGAAGCATCACTTATTATACAAAAGCTGGTGGCTAGGAATGAGGTTGATGGATGTGTTGTGTCTGAGAGGTGCTGGGTAGTCTCTAGCTGAGTTCTTATACACAGTTGTTATAGATGTGTCATGTCATATTTCTTGTGTACGCTGCAACATGGGCATTGATGGCACTATACAAATAAAACTGAAACCCAGAATATATTCAACACATGATATAGAAATATGGTGTGACTGTGATCTGGAAGGTCTATCAGTGTAATGCACAGACGCCAAACAACATTTAGCGTACCATCTTGGTTGCAACTGTGATTTGCTGTCCCTGACGGGAACATAAACACAAAGCTGGCACCATCTTAAGATCAGCTGTTCTGTCTCTGATAAGCGCTGATCCATAAGCTCTACAGAATCTATCTGGGTCTCCTTGGTTTTAGCTTTATACCTTTTTACACTGCCAGCTGTTTCTAAGGCAGCCATGCAGGAGAGGAAACAGATTAGTGGGAAATGATTAGCCTAGTAGGGTGTTTTCCAGGTCTCCACTAGCATAGTCTTCCAAGGAAGACTGTGCAGTTATCCATTGGCACAGTCTTTTCTGTCTCTGCTCCAATGTAATGAAAAACCCCTCCCACCTGAACATCAACAGTGGGAAAAGGCATAAAGAAACACCACTATTTCAGTCCTGCATGATAAGAACAACAGCAACAGAGCAAATTTATGCAGGTCTACTCAGGAAAGTGTGTATAGGATTGCAGCCTAAGAGACTGATAAGCTCAAATTTGAGAATGGAAAATTATATCTGCATTTGGCTGGAGTAGTTCAGAGATGGGGGCGGAATCACATTTTAATATTAATAAAGTTATAAACAAAAGGCTCATGTGTTGTCTGGAAATATGCCAGGGAGCCACATTTGGACTCAGCTTTCTGATGCAAGTACACAAGGTTACTACGCTATAACAGGTGTAGCATTTGAGGTGGCCTTGAATGAAAACTAACTTTGTCAATGTAGATTCATCTTACCATTACTTAGGGAGTAGTTTAGTGACTCTCTTAAAACAGTTCAGTTTTCTGAGTATCAAGAGATGCCCACACTTGCTGCTAGAAGACACTACTTTTCCAGACAGAGCAAAGTTTTTGATAGTGATGCC